AAAGCCTTCCGCAATTCATTCACAGTTTGATCGAGCACCGCTTTTCGCCCTGTGCATGGTGCATGGGTCTTTGTTTGCTTGTTTGGTTGTTTGTTCTTTTGGGCCAACTAACCCGCTGGCCATGATTCAGATTTTGGGTCGTGTCGTGGCTTTCGATTGCTTAATTGAAAATGCCTTGGCGCTTGGCGCTTGGCGCTGACAAAAAACCCTAGCAAATGGGGTAAAAGCGGGGGACAAGATTGAAAGACCGCAAAGCAAAATCTTTCGCACGGTAATCTTGATGTTGGCCAACAATGCTCAGAGCTTGGCTTTCGCACGGCATAAATCCCGGCTAAATGCAAAAGTTAAATGCATCAAGTTATCGCCCGATCTGTGGCTGGGGCCATTGTTGGGGGCACACAGGCACAGCCACACAGGGGCACACCCTCGGGATTGGAGATGGAGTGCCGGACAGATGCATGGTGCTCCAGATCCCGCGAAATTGTTTCAAATGCCAAAAGTTTTCGCTTGCAAGACTCTTCAGCCTTTGGAGCCGCACCTTCTCCTTCTCCCTCTCCCCCCTAATGGCACACCCACCCACTCCCTATTCCACACAGGGCGTATACGCAACTCTTGGCAGACATTGATCTTTTGCCACTCTTTTTTGTGTACGTTTTGTTTGTTTTTTGTTTTTTGTTTTTTTTTTTGTGGGGCGTTGACATTGTGACGCGCGGCGGTACGTGAAACGTGACATGACGTGAGGCACATTCTACGTGCCGCAGCGGAAATTTCCAGTCAATGCCAGGCCGGCGGTACAGGAGCCAGGGAGGAGCCGGAGAGCCGAAGAGCCGAAGAGCAGGGAGAACGAGAGATGGAGCGGAACCGTCTTTGAATTTTAAGTTGCAGCTAAAGCCAACTGAACTTTACAGAATACATGCTATACTCGTATATAGACGGTCATGGAATGTGAATGAGTTCGCGTGTGAGTGCGAGTGTGAGTGCGTACTATGAGTGCACGTGAGATGCAGCTGCAGGCTGCACTGAGGTAGGGATTTCTGAATAGCCCGTGCCTTATCTGTGGAATGTTTGGACCAAGATTGATTGAACCAAAATTTCACATTTCATTCATGATTCATTCACATACTGACGCTGACTCATGGCTATTCATTGGAGTACAGTGCCTACAGTAATTTACGAGTACTTGGAATGAGTGCAACTGGCATCCATATGTATTCGAAGCACTCAAGCGATGCAAATACATGCCTCCCAGGCTCATTCATGAGTGCATTAAGGGCGCATATTATCGGAGGGAGGCAGCATCTACTATATATGTATGCATGTATGTATATATCTATCTACCATTGATATCGGGTTTCGCTATTCATGGACTCCGGCTCTCTCGAGGCCATTGTCCGGCGCGACCTGTTCCCAATTCGAGAGCAACTACTCGGACCGAATGGTTTTTCTGAGGCGGTTTCTCTTCTCTCGTGATTCAAGGTTACCAATAGATCCAGATTTTATGCAAAGCAAACAGCCAGCCAGCCAGCCAGCCAGCCAGCCAGTCCAGCCTCTGGGAAATTGCAAATATGTACGCAATATTTGTGGTGTTTTTGTTTTTGTATTTTTAGCAGCGTAATGCTGCGATGCCTTACGTAAGCAACGGGCTATCCAGCTGCAGTTGCAGTTGCAGGCGAGTACTCGTATATGTGCCACAGTTGATCTGTCTCTGCCTTTGTATCGTTTCATGTGTTGCAACTTGTCGTCGTCTGCGTCGTCGTCGTCGTCGTCGTCGTCGGCAGCAGCAACTTGTCCATAAATTGTGCCGCAGTCTTTTACAGCCGCTGGCTGTAAATCCGGCCAAAAACGATTCTCAATTTTGGCCCGCTGAATCTGTTGCAGTTGTAGTTGACGCTGCAGTAGCAGTTGCAGTGGTGGGCTGTGTGTGTTTTGGGGCGCCCTGCAGCAACACACATCACATCAAATCACACAACCTGCCTGCCTGCCTGCCTGCCTGCCGCCTGTCCATCCAGATCCAGATTTAATTGCCAGCCATTCGCAGCCATTAAAAGATGCAGAAACTAAGCCAAAAACCAGGCGATAAATAGTGCCAGCAAAGCCGAAGATTCCGATACTCTAATGCTGGTCACTCGGCTTAGAAGATTCAAGTGCTTTTTCCTCTAAGTACTCTTTGGATTTAGTACTGTGTTTTTCTATAATATCCATGGCTTGTGAAGTCTAGCAAGTCTGATTGTAGTATGGACTGATTCCTTACTTTTGTAATGCTCAATAGGATACATGTGTACATACTCGTATATGGTAAGTATGCTCCATGAAGAGTTATACCTTCTATGGACTAAAGTAGCCCCATTCAAAGACCAAAACCCGAGCAAAACTCTATCAAATGTGGCATTTGCCTTTAGGTACATGTGTTGCAGACGCCTGGTGCTTGTTGTTGTAGTTGGTGGTGGCACTTTTGTGTTCACTTTGCGTAAAATCGACAAATTTGTCAAGCCAAGTCGCGACGGCCAATCAATGCGAGTGCTCATGCGCATTGTACAATCCAAATTGTTGTCATTTCATTTTCATTCAAGTTGTTGTTGTTTTCTTGTGGATACTCGATCTTTTTTTTGTGTTTTTTTTGGCATGCAATTTTATGTAAGCAGCTGCTGCAGTCAGCTGCCATAAAGAAATGTTAAGCAATGCGTAAGAGGCAACAGCAAAAGCAACAGCAAACAGCCACAGCAACAGAGCACTGAAAGCCATGTAAATGATGGCTATATATAAATGTAAATGGCCAAAGAGTTCCATAAACATTTCTTGTTTAGCTTTATGCTGGGTTTTGGTCCAATGACCCAATCAATGTCTGAACGCTCAGTAGGTAAATGTGCCATTACCCTCTACAGACATACTCGCTCCACGTATCCCCCATATCCCCCATATCCATAGAATGCCTTGAGTACAGGCAAAGTAGCCACTTGCCGGATATGGATACGGCTGCGATTTACGGCATACGGCATACGGCATTCGGCATACGGCATACGGCATTCGGCTTAAGGGGGAAAGCTTCAAGTCCTCACTAGAGAGTGTGTTGATGGGTTTTCTATACCGCATACGCATACGAGTATTGTATTGCAAAAATCATTGCTTTTTGGCTCCAAAGAGTGCACAAAGAGCACAATTCTGTGCTCGGATAAAGTGGTTCTCCTTCTCAATGGTTTTTTTAGTCGACATTTAAGTATTGCCGTCCGTGTCTGAATTCTTTTGGTCTCCCACATGACGATCTTTCAAGAGTTTTTTTGTTTTGTACTATTCTTGGAGAATTTGTATGTCTTTTGTTTCCAGTATTTTGTTGATATTTATCAGACCCGAATGAATAGCCTTCTTGGAATAAACTCTTCCGCCCAACAAAAATCGTATCTTGATAGTTTTCGCAGGTCAGGTACATTTCCTTTAATATGATTTAGGTTATTTTTATATCGATAATTGCTTCCAGCATTCAGCAGAGACCTTTGACAAATAGAAAGTTTCGCCCTCGGGCCCGACAGACTTTTTGATTAGCAAAAATTCACTTTTTATTCATCGGTAGGGGACTCTACCCCCCATGTACACAAATATCACAATATAAGTACGAGTGTGTATGTATTCATCTGCGACTGTGCATTGGGGGCTTTGCTAATTAGTTATGAGAGCCCACACGGCCAGCGATGCCGTGGATGATGGTTCAACCTGTTCGGAGATGTCTTCATGGCAGATGTTTTCGCTGCCCGATGATGTTTTACATGGGGACTTGATCAATTTTGTTTCATGTACAATTCACTTCGATGAATGAACGCACACAGACACACACACACACCTCACTCACACGCACGCACGCACGCACGCACGCACGCACGTGTGTGTTTTGGGGCAAAAAAAAACCGGCATGGCTAACACGCACACACACTCGCTATCGAAGTCGTCTAGGGGCAGCAAGTTTTTGTTTTTGTTGGCTGCTTATGTAATTCAAGCTGTTTCTCTTTCTGCTGTGTGTTGCTGACCAAAATCCCAAAACAGATTTTGGGCCCATTGTGGCTGTTGTAACACTTTGGCATTTTAATATGAAAATCCGTTTAAAATATCCGTATATTTACGAGCCATGAGTCACAGAGTCTGAAGACTGGAGACTGGAGGCTGGAGACTGGAGATTGCAGACACTGGAGACTGCAACCCTATGGATGATCTAATTTCTGTGTTATGCCGAAGCAGAAAACATAAGGAAGTTTTCTTCCACACAGACTCGTAACACAAACTGGGCGTGTCCGTCGCAATGGCATTTGCATTTACATTTCCATTTGAATTTGCATTTCATCAATTCCGTCCTATTTGCATATGGAATTCATCCCCACAGATCATCTCTTCTCTTGTACGAGCATGGGGTTATGTAAGCCGCATGCTGTTGATAGACGCCGACCTTCATGGGAACCTTTTCGAGCTTCGAGCTTCGAGCTTCGAGCTCGAGTCTTTCGAGTGATGATCTTTTGTCTTTTGTGTATCGCCCAGATTTATGCGGATCTGTCCATCGATGTCACTGTGTCAATGCTGCTGCCACCTGCCAACCTGCCTTCCAGTATGATAATTGCTTCCGCCTTGAGATCCAAATTAAAGCGAAAATAATTACGTACACCCAGATTACACTTATATTTTGAAATTTCCATGCAGTTTTGTCCCGATATTTCTTTTAAATTGATTGAAACTTAACTAATTTCCCCATTTAAATAAGCACAAGTTGACTTTCTCTGGTTGTTTTAGGTGTTTTTTAGACATGTTTTCCTTTACTGTTTTCTCCCGTATAAAAGATGATTCTTGATAAAACGTTTCTGCCACATATTTTCGGACTTTGTGGGGGCGGGGCGGAGTTTCGAAATGCACTTTTAACAGTGATGGGTTGGTATCTTTCTACTGCTTTTCTGCCTCTGATTTTTCTCTCAGTGTAACAATTATTAAAAAACGGTTCCTCTTGGTCCTTTTGATTTTCATTGCAGTTCCGGCGTGGAGCGGCCTGGCAAACGCTCTTCCTGCTCTGCGCACTCGCATATTGCATAAATGGTAAGTGCTCCACTACAAAAGGGTTTCCGAATGATACTCGTACACGACATGAATTTTCAATCCGACCTGATTCGATATCCGAAAACAGAGGCCAGCAGCGAGGGTCGTGTCGTTTGCTATTACACGAACTGGAGCGTCTACCGGCCGGGTACGGCCAAATTCAACCCGCAGAACATTAATCCATATTTGTGTACACATTTGGTCTACGCATTCGGTGGATTCACCAAGGACAATCAGATGAAGCCCTTTGACAAGTACCAGGACATTGAGCAGGGTAAGCCCCATCCACCAATGTCCAATGTTAATTCAACTCGATTTTAATTTCCTGTCTGTCTACATCCATCCCCTGACCCCTGCCAGGTGGATATGCAAAGTTCACCGGCCTCAAGACCTACAACAAGCAGCTGAAAACGATGATTGCCATCGGTGGGTGGAACGAGGCCAGCTCCCGGTTCTCTCCACTGGTGGCCAGCGGCGAGCGTCGCCAGCAGTTCATCAAGAATATCCTCAAGTTTCTGCGACAGAATCACTTTGATGGCATCGACCTGGACTGGGAGTATCCGGCCCATCGGGAGGGCGGCAAGTCTCGTGACCGCGACAATTACGCCCAGTTTGTCCAGGAGCTGCGGGCGGAGTTCGAGCGCGAGGCCCAGAAGACGGGACGCACTCGGTTGCTCTTGACCATGGCCGTGCCAGCGGGCATTGAGTACATCGACAAGGGCTACGATGTGCCCAAGCTGAACAAGTATCTGGATTGGTTCAATGTCCTCACCTATGACTTCCACTCGTCGCACGAGCCCTCTGTGAACCACCACGCCCCGCTCTACTCTCTGGAGGAGGACTCCGAGTACAACTACGATGCAGAGCTGAATATTGTACGAGCACCTGACAGAGCCGCTTAACTTGAGAGGCACTATTCTAATGATGATCTGCTCTTTCCAGGATTACTCCATCAAGTACTACCTAAAGGCGGGCGCCGATCGGGATAAGCTCGTGCTGGGCATTCCCACCTATGGCCGGTCCTACACGCTGATCAACGAGGAGAGTACGGAGCTGGGAGCCCCCTCGGAGGGTCCCGGTGAACAGGGCGATGCCACGCGGGAGAAGGGCTACCTGGCGTACTACGAGGTGGGTTGGCTATTAAACACTCCCAATCAAGTGAATCATTTTTATCTTCCTCCACTCACTTACAGATCTGTCAGACGCTCAAGGACGACCCCGAGTGGACGGTGGTGCAGCCGAATGCCAATGTAATGGGTCCATATGCCTACAGACGCAACCAGTGGGTTGGCTACGACGACGAGGCCATGGTACGGAAGAAGGCCGAGTATGTGGTTGCTCACGGCCTGGGCGGCATCATGTTCTGGGCCATAGACAACGACGACTTCCGCGGCACGTGCAACGGCAAGCCATATCCCCTGATCGAGGCTGCCAAGGAGGCCATGGTGGATGCTCTTGGGTATGTGTGGGTTGTCGGGGGCCTCTGGGCACTAAGCGAACTCTCTTACCAATCCTCCCTCCTTGCAGTTTGGGCATCAACGAGGTGGCCAAGTCGAACGGACCACAGAAACCGTCGCGTTCCCGCAGTCGCGACAATGCCGTACAGAATCGGAACCGCCTGAATACCAAGACAGAGGCCCCAACGCCGGCCAGCTCGAGGAGAGGTCCCAGCGGTGGACGTCGCACCAGCAGCACAGCAGCACCACCGCCTCCCAGTACCACCTTTAGGCTGACGGAGGCCGATGGCTCCTCGCTGTACATTGGAGGCCGGGGCTCGACAACACCAGCGCCGCCAACCACCCCCGATCCGGGCTCGGATTTCAAGTGCGAGGAGGAGGGCTTCTTCCAGCATCCGCGAGACTGCAAAAAGTACTACTGGTGCCTGGACAGCGGCCCCTCGGGCCTGGGCATCGTGGCCCACCAGTTCACATGCCCCTCGGGACTGTACTTCAATCCGGCTGCGGATTCCTGTGACTTTGCCCGCAATGTGCCATGCAAGACCAAGAAGTGAGTGTCTGGGCAGTCTCTCTCATGAACACGCTCTAACCCCCTAAATCTCCCTCGTAGATCCACCACAGCGTCTCCACCAGTGACCTCCACGACAACGACGACTACAGTGCGACCCAATCGGTTGACAGCGGCCCCGCCAGCAAGACCCATCTATGCACCACGCACCACCAGCAGCACCAGCACCACCTCGACCACAACCACTGCAGCGCCACCCGCTGAAGATGAGCTGGAGTATGAGGAGGAGGGCAGCGTCAGCGACGATGAGCCGTCGCCAGGGGAAGAGGATCCGCAGGTGATCAAAGAGCTGATCGATCTCATCCGGAAGGTGGGCGGCGTGGAGCAGCTGGAGAAGCATCTGCTGCGAAACAAGGACGGCTCCATTACGCTCAAAGAGAACTCCGCCAGCGGTGCCCCGACCACACCCTCGACCATTAGCAAATCTCTTTACGATCGCGTGCTCAGTAGGCCCGGTACTCTCAATTCCTTCACGCGTAATCGACTGAAGATCAACGAATCTCCAGCTTCAGCCCCAGAGACCAGGACCGAGAGCAACAGCTCCTCCAACGCCAACTACTCCAAGTACTCCTCGGTGTTGAGGGGCAACAGTCGTCAAGGACCACAGAACGAGGGCATCGAGAAGCTCGCGGAGTTCGATGGCTTCCTGAAGGAGCGAAAGCAGTATGTGACCATCAATCGTCATCGTTCGTCGAGCCAGGGTGAGTCCGAGGCCCAGTCAGAGTCCGAGGAAGCAGTCGAGGAGCAGTCCGAGCCGGAAACCACCACCCGACGACCCATCAGTGCCGCCACGCCATCGTATACCAGCTTGCGACGTTCCCGACCCTCAACCACAGCGGCCTCAGCCGCAGAATCCTCCCAGGAGGAGGAAGAGGAGGAGGAGCAGGTGGTGCAGTCGCTCAGCCAAGTGAAGTCCTATGCCACCTTGAGCCGGACGCGTGGACGTGGCACCACAGAGAGGCCGGAGGCAACCACAACCAGCAGCACGGAAACGGAGTCTATCTTGAGTTCGACAACTAATCGGTGAGAATCTTCCTTTAAAACATCCGAAATGTCCGACTCTCACGTTTTACTTTCAGCTACAAATACTTTGAACGCACAAGGCCCACGAAGAGCGGCAATGTAGAGGATGCTGCAGCAGATCCCGAGGAGGATGAGGAGGAGTACGAGGAGGATGAACCGCAGCAAAATGTCACGGTACAGAGCAAACAAAGTCTCACAAGCCACAACCAAAACACACGTAAATATGCGAGCATTGGTCGCAGTAGAACAACAACCATTACAGAAACACCACCAGAAACCACAACAGCAACCAACAACGGCACAGAGACTGCCAAGGCCAGCACCACCACCACCAACAACAACAACAACAACAACAGCAGCTACAATGTGAAACAGAATAACAGCAAGAACCCAACAATACCAACAACAGCAGAAAGCACCACAACACCTCAACCTCAACCACCGAGCACCACCCAACCAGAAACCACAACTAACGAAACCCCTGAACCAATTGAAAGCACCACTTCAACCACTAACACCCAGCATACCTCACCCACAACCCCAGCCACACCCACACCCACAACCACAACCACAACCACACCTAATTTAGGATCCACCAGCATTGACTCAGACTCATTGGCAACCGATGAACCACTGGGCGATGCCTCCCCCACTATCCCATTAGTCCTAGACGTAGCCACCAGTACTACAACAACGACAACAGAGACGGAACTGGGAACAACAACACCCACAACAACAACCACAATCACTGGCAACACCGAACGAAATGACGTGGACGTGGACGACAGTGACGACAGCGAGGTAACAAAAACCAAGACACAATACACAAAGTATGCAACCACCAATCGCAGGCGTGTGACAACAACAACCACAGCTAAAACGCCGACAACAACAACCACAAACAACAACAACAATCCAGAAGCTGCGATCGATGCTAGTCGAAACGGTTTGAATAGCATTAGCAATCCTAACGTAAATAGCATTAGAACCACCTACTCTGGTAGAAGGCAACCACAAAGAACCACACAGACACAGACACAGACAACAACAACCACAGAACCACCCACCACCACTAACCCGAATACGCTGGGTAGCGTATCTAGTCCGAGACCCTTTGGTTATCCCAGACGGCGCACACGACCCACAGTCCAAAGCACAACCACTAGCACCACTACGATAAACGATAACGCAAACGATAACGATAACGCAAACGATAAACAGATAACAGATGCAGTTGTGAATGTAGTGAAGAAAACACGACTATCCCAAGTGGATAGGCCCAAGGTGAGTGCCAGTCTTACCGCCGAAACAACCACCACCAATACAATCAATACAACCACCGCAACCAGTGCACTACAGCACCACCAAAATGTAGAAGTAGACGTAGATGGTAATGGTGGCAATAGCTTAAGGCATGACGTAGTTAGAACTATTATAAGTAAACCCCATAATGACGCAGATGCCGACGAGATCTACACCAAGACCAAGTACACTTGGCGCTCGGTGCGACTACCCACGGGAGCACGACGTCCGGCTGGAGCTAGGGCTGGGACGGGGCCCAATGCCCTGGCTGGCGAGGACAAGGACACACGTAGGTACGCAGGCAAGCAGCTGTCCGCTGATGATAACGATGACGAGGAGCAGCAGTTGCCCTCCAAATACCGCAGTCGCCGACTGAATTCTGCGGAAGAAGAGTCCGAAGCAGCCTTTGAGTCATCAGCTTCCGTTTCCTCTTCGGGCTCGCGCAACTATAAAAACATTCAACGCACTGCCAGCCGAGAAGGAGGAGCTTCATCAAATGACCAGCAGATCCGGTACCAGGCCATTAGCCGTGACACCGAGGGGGCCGCACACCTCACCGCCGGGCGCAGCTCGAGCTTCGTGAGGGATTTGGGGGGGGCCACGAGGCCACCACGCAACTACCAGCCCATTTCCCGGGGCGGAAAGATTGTGGTGGAGACCACCACCGAGGACGAGAATGTTGCCGCCGAAGTGATCGACGATGAGCTGCCAGCGGCGGCACGTGGCAGGACCAACGCACCCGCCGCCAGCTCCATCAATGCGGATGACAGCAACACGGCGACCGAGCAAGAGTCACCGGAGATTGTCACGGCAGCTGATCCTGAGCCACAGATTCTGAACCTGGCTGAGGTAACCACTCTCCCAACGATGGAAGACAGCGACAGCAGCACCACTGAAGCATCCTCCAACAGCACCACTACTGAAGCATCCGCCAGCAGCACCACAACTGAAGCATCCTTCAGCAGCACCAGCACTGAGGCCGTCTCCAGCAGTACCACCACTGAACCATTTGCTATCAGCTCCACAGAGGATACTATTGTGGAAGAAACCACCTTGTTCTTTTTTGAAGAAACTGCAACCGATATCATCGAAAGCACTAGCACCACTGAACTACCAGCTAGTAGCACAAGCAACACTGAACCAACTCCAAGTAGCACAAGCACCACTGAACCACCAGCTAGTAGCACAAGCAACACAGAGTCTCAGCTGCACGAGACAACAGTGAAACCTGGTCGTCGTTCTTTCAGTCACGGCAGCACCACCACAACCACAACGGAAAACAGTGAAACAACCACCACCGAACCCGCAACACGTCGATCTTTCCTTCGAGGAGGTAAAACAACTACTGAGGCGCCCTTGGACAGCAGCACCACTACCACCAGAGCACAGAAAAAGGATTTGAATACACCAGAAGAAGAGCCCACAACACGACGCTCATTCTTCCGAGGCAGCAGAACAAGCACCACAGAAGCAACATCGACACCAAGCACCACTGAAGCGGACAACAACAGCAGCAGCTCCTCAAGCGAAGAAACGCAGGGGGAAACAATCACGGAGGCCACCACAAAACGCTCTTTCTTCCGCAACAAGACGCCCAGTACCACAGAAGCCACAACGCCAACAATAACCACCGCAGAGGAGCAGATCCAACCAGAGACAACCACAGGCTTGCCAAGACGTCGCGTCATAGTGCGGGGCAGCTTCAGGCCCCAGGGTAAGGAAGGGGATCTTTCGTCCCTGCTGGCTGCCGATGCCAACAAGAGATCGAAGTACAACCACCAAGAGTCCCGAGGAGTGGAACCCACAGCAGCAGCAGCACCACCACCACCACCAAAAGCAGCAGCATCACCACCAGCATCAGAGGAGAAGCAGCAGGAAGTAAAGGCAGACCAGGAGGAAGCAGAGGTAGAGGTAGAAGCCAAAGAAGCTGGCAAACTCCATAGTCGCGCACCACTCAACGGTGGCACGGTCCGCAATCGCACCTCGACGAAGACCGAGTCACTGGGCAATGGTATTACGCGCACCCGCACCACCTATGTACGCACCCTGGACGCCGGCCAGAAGGTGGTCAAACGCATTCACACCAAGACTGTGGAGGAGAAGCCTGCGGAGTACGAGTACATATACGACGAAGTGAGCCATGCACCACCTCCGAGCACCACACAGAGGGCGATTACCCGCAATCGCGGAACAGTACGATTCCAGAGCAACGATCTGTCATCACTGCTGGCCCTTGACTTTTCATCGCGTGGACAGCGCAAGAAGACCCCACCACCAGAGGCAACGGTGACAAAAACGCGACGCCGACTGCTGAAGAAACCCAAGGAGACCATCGAGCATGAGGAGGTCGAGGAGTTTGAGTACGAGGCTGGCAACGAGATAGAGGCAGAGGCAGGGAAAGAGAAGGTACCACAACCCAGCGCCACCACAGCTAGAGCCACTCAACGCAGAACAAGACCCACAAGAACCACCACAGAGAGACCAGCAACAACCACAGCAGGCACACGAGCAACAACCCCTCGCAGCGAAGATTCGCCTGTAGTTGAGGCCAGTACTCGTCGCAGCGGCTTTGCTGGTTTCAAGCGTCCCACAACAACCACCACAGAGGCACCATCGCCCGCGACATCGTCCACAGAGGCGTCACCAACAGCGGCAACTGCCACCACTAGACGTGTGCTCACCCGGAGACCTATTGGAACGACAACCACCGAAGCAACCATTGAAGCATCTTCCACGGAAGATCAACTTTCAGCAGCCAAGCAGCGGTTTGTGAATCGACTGAGAAGCAGCAGCACCACCAGCACCACAACTACTAGTACCACTACAGAAGAGCCACCGGCAGCCACCACAGAGGATCTGAGTCTTCTGAAGCAGCAATTGAATAGCGCCCTGAACCGCCTGCAGTCGGGAAACGAAGTGGGTGCCACAGGAGGAGAAAATGCAGTCACGGGGGGGGACAAGGACACCAGCGAGGAGGAGCAGCAGCTATCGCTGCCCATCTACCACCGCCGGAAGTACTATCAGTATGTGAAGGATTCCCCTATAACGTATATAGACAAGTCCCCGGCACCGCCGGACATTGAGAGTGGGACTGTAAACATCCGTCAGCAGATCCACGATGTCTTCAATGTTAGCGCCAGGGATACGCTAAATAATTCCGTAGAAGTGGAGGATGCGGAGGTAGAACAAGAGGAGAAGGAGAAGGCTGAAAAGGAGCCACTGGAGCACCGCCTAGCCATGGAGCAGGCCAAGGAGATCAATGCCGAACTCGGTCATTTTTTATTGGAAACCCCCGGGTCACAGTAGGACACCCGGGGGCAAAACTAGTCGGATCTGGTGAGGAGACATTGGATGACAACGATGACGAAGAGCTAACCGCTCAAATCGATGACGACGATGAGGATGATGATGAGAATGGGGTTGGAAAGTCGCAACGCAGGGGCAAGACCTTTAAGACCATACCACTGACGACGGCCTCGTCGAACGAGACCTCAAAGATCGTCAGCATCTCGCTGCTGGACGATGCCGCTGCGGCTTCTCAGCGAAGCGAAGAGGATGCTCGGGGCCTGCGCACCTACACGAAGCTGAATCGAACGCGTCTCACGCTGTCCACCAGGCTTCAGGTATCCGAAGAGCAGCCAGCAGAAGCAACCACGAGGAGAACCTACAGCGTTCCCCAACGCTTCCGCAGTCGGTCAACAACAATCAGACCAACCACCAAAGCAGAAGCGGAAGCGGAAACGGAGCAAGAAGAGGCGGAAGTGGAGGTTGGAGTTGACGAGGAAGCGGATACAACCACAAGACGCAGCTTTGCAGCATTAAACAGACTGAGGAATCGCGGTACAACCACGACAACCACAACTACAGAGCCAACAACAGCAACAACAACAACAACCACTAGTAGAAGCACACGACAACCCTACAAGGCTCTCAATCGCAGGGTGACAACAACAACCACAGAGATACCATCTGGCAATGAAATCGAACCTAAAAAAAAGGGGGAAAACGACGAAGTGGCAACCATCACTGAAGACTCCACAGAAAAATCGAACCCACAGGTGGATACCACCACTGAGGAGGAGAAGGGTGCGGAGGAGGAGGATGAGGATGAGGAGCTGGTGGCCGAACAACCCGATGACAATGAGATCTCCGATGAAGAAGTCAGTTCAACAATAACAACAACGACAACCACTGAGGCCAACAGCGAGCGGCCAACACCAATACCACGTCGCCAGCTGGTTATAAGACGTCGCTTTAATGGAACAACAACCACCGCAGCAACCACCCCCGATGACAGTCTTGACAACGAAATAGAGCCGAGCAGCACAAAAAGACCAGCTGGACCCACGGCACGTCGGCCTCTTTTGATACGCCGTCGCTTTAATGGAACAACAACCACAGTGGAACCGCCATTAAGCAGCCAAAGCGATGACAATGAAGTTGATCAAGGCGACAGTGGATCAACAACAACAACCGCCGCCAGTGTGTCGCCTTCTCCACGGCGACAACTTCTGATACGCCGGCGCTTCAATGGGACGACAACAACACAAACAACCACCGCCAGAACGGTTCAACGAGGGGGTTCAACGAACGATGCCGATGATACAGAGATAACCACACGTCGACCATATGCAGCCTTGAACCGCTCACGTACTCGGTATAGTACAACGAGCAGAACAACAACCACCGCCGGCGCTGATGGTGATGACGATAACGCGAACGAGAACGATTACGAGGAGAGCGATGAGCGTGTGGAGAGCTCCACAGCACGTGCTGGCTTCCTTCAAACGAATCGCCACAGGGCCTTAAAGCCGGTCAGCTTTGCGACCCGTCGCAGCAGTACAGCGGCACCGCCGAGGATTAGCTCCAGTACGCGGCGCAATCTGGTGGCCCTCAATAGGAATCTCTACCATCGAGCGGAGGAAGAGCCAGAGCCTGAAGAGGAGGTGCAGGAGGAGGAGCAGGAGGAAGAGGAATACGATGAGGAGGAGCAGCTCGAGCCCGAACAGACACCTAGAACATCAACGAGATTGAGTCAATTGCTTGCCAGCAGACAGAAAGCCCCCCAACCACCCCAACCTGCAACTGACAGGACAAAGACACAAATCCGAACCCAAACTCAGACTAGAACAGAAATAGAAACAGAAACAGAACAAGACGAGGACGACAATGAAGAGGACGAGATTGAAGCGGATGTGGATGAAGAGGAGGATGAAGATGATAGTTCCGTAGAGGTATCCAAAACTAACAGCAATAGCAAAAGGGTAAATGGTAGCACCACTAACACTAACCAAAGCACAAGCACCACCACAGCAACAACACCAGCACCAGCACTGAATGTCGTGGCTAGTCGTAGTCGTAGCAACAGCACCGTAGCCAATTATTTGTTTAATCGTTTCAAGCTTAACCAAAACAAAAACCAGTCAAACATTTATGCCAACAACCACACGAAACAACAAGAGCAACAGGTCACTGTTAAGGTTAATCCTAAGGATAGAGATAGTGATGATGATGTGAATGAGAATAAGAATGAAAACGATGCTAGTCCAGGTCCAGGGGATGAAAATGATAATGATAATGAGAATAGTATTGGGAATAATGTGAATGCAAATTCGAGTGTTGTACTAGGTAATGAAGTTAATTCTAAACGACGTTTTCAGAATCGTTATCAGTTGAGCCGCAGCAGAGCTACCAGCGGCAGCAGCACCACCACCACAGACAGCAGTATCAGCCCCAGCACCAACCCAGTAGTGCCACCAACAACGACAACACGTCGCTTGGCCTTTGGCGTGCGCCAGCGATCGCAGCAGGTAACTAAATTAACCCAAGTCGATGAAGAGCACACTGAGGAGAATGCACAGACTAAGGATAGCCAAGAGTCCAACGAAGAGGCAGAAGACACAGACACCACAACGGCAGCAACAACAACTACCAGCAGCAGGCCGACGCCAAAGCGCATACGCGTACTGAAATTCCGACGACCCATCAATACCACAGACAGCACATCCACTAATAGCGCCACTGAAACAGACCACACAACGAACACAGTAAACACCACCAGCACAACAGCAACAACACCCACCGACACCACAGTGCACACCAACAACACAAATACCAATACCAAGCGTTTCCGTAAGATTGTGCGTAAACTAAGACCCGTAGAAACCACCAGCTCCCCCAGTGTTGCAGCTGGTGCTGAAGAGGGCTCCGAAGACGGGGCCACCCGTAAACCCTTTGTGCCCAGCCACACGCGATTTACAGGAACCACCGATAACCAGGACCAGAACCAGAACCAGAACCAAAACCAAAACCAAAACGATCTTCTCAATCTGCGACAACGCCTCAAGGAGCAGCAGGCCAAGGGCGAACCCCTCGATGGGGTATTGAGCACACGCCTGAAGGCGGGACTCGCACAGAAGACAGGAGGATCAGAGGATCAGGACATCTCGGAGCTGCAGCGATTGAGGGACAAGGTGAAAGCAGAACAAGCGCGGGGCAATGGCGACCAAGGAGTAATCAACGATCGCCTGAAGAAGCTGCTGGCCGAGAAATCAGACAAGTCACAGAAATCGGAGAAATCCGAGTCCAATCAGGGTAATGAGGCGCCAACCACTGAGGTCTCGGCACGGCCATTCTTTAAGCGGAAGCTGGTGGCCAGAAGACCCTATACACCTGCCGCAGCAGGAGCAGGAGCAGGTGCCACCACCAAGGCGCCACTCAGCTTCAATAGCTCCCGACCCACACCGAAGTTTGTGCGGCGCAAGAACGGACGTTTCGATCCCTTCAATTCGAGTGTCCGCAATAGGGGTGAGGGATTCGTGCGCAGCGATCCTCGAGGATCCCGTCTACCCGGAGCCGACCGCTTCAAGACCCAGAAGGCAGGAGGGGACAACGAGGAGGAGGAGGGGGTTGATGATGATGATCAGGAGGAGGAGGAGGAGGAGGAACAGAGCGAGGAGGCTGTGGAGGCGCAGCAGGAGCAGCCGCTGAATAATCGCCCGCTGGGTGCCGCCGGTGGAGCCTTGAGGAGGCCTTTTGTGCCCAAAGCCCGGACCCAGCTACAACCACAGAAGCCACAGAAGAGCCAGGACGAGGAGAGCGAGGAGGAGGACGAAGAGGAGGAGGAAGACGACGAAGAGGATGAGGACGAAGAGGAGGAGGCAAAGCCACAAACGATCGAAGAAGGCAGCGGCACGCCCAAGCCAAAGTTCAATAATCCCTACCGCCCCAAGGACAATCGCGCACTGCCCGGCAGTCGTCCGAGCTTTGCCCCCACCGCAGGTGGTGCCACTGGTCCCGGCGGCAACGTGCCCTTCAATCCACGCGTTCGTCAGCCCAACTTCAGTGCGGGAGGATCCACGACGGCTACTGGCTCTGGCAATCGCTTTGGCGGTGCCACCAAACGACCCCGCGTGGTCAATCGGCCACCGGGCGTGGCTACGCCCAACCTGACCCTGCGGCCAGTGGCCAGCGATTATGAGCGCACCACACCGCTGACACCGCTGAAGCCGGCACCGTTCATTCCCAGCAACACGAGGAGCTACGAGAGAAAGTACACCGGGCCCTCCACAGAGGCCACGGAAACGGCCAGCGAGAACTCCCTGATCGAGGACCTAAACATCGATGCATTGAATGCCAGGAACAAGAAGATCTTCGATATCAACAGCAAGAAGCACACGACACTCAAGCCGAAGGTGGTGAAGGTGGAGACGGAGACGGAAACGGGAGCAGTGACGGAGGTGGAGACTGGTACTGAGATGGAGACGACAGAGCAGGTGGAACAGGAACAGGAACAGGATCAGGGCTATGTGACAACCACACCAAGCACACCACCACCCACCACACAGCCAGACACCACCAGCAACACCAACACCACAGACACTGCAACAACCGAAACATCCATAGAAATAGATACCGCACCACCACCTCCACCACAGATACCACCCACCATCACCAACGAGACCCAAAATGCTAATGAAGCCCCCTCTTCACCCCCACAGGAAGCACAGCTCTCCACCAGCACCACCCAATCGCCGCCGCCGGCCACCACCCTCCTGCATGTCTTCACCCTGCTCGAGGGCGAGGGCGAGGTTGAGGAACAGACGGCCTCCACCTCCACAATTAGGCCGCCAAAGGCCCCGTTGCACAGAAGCACCGTTGCCGAGCCCAAGCACAAGCTGATCGAGATCAATCGCATTGTGGAGATCAACTCAAAGCAGGCCAAGGCCGCCCAGCGGAAGTCCAAGGCCAATCAGCAGGACTTCGGCATGCTGCGGGTGGAGTCGCTGCCCCACGTGGAGCAGCTGGGCGAGATCAGTGTGGTGAAATATGTACATCTGGTCGATGGCAGCGCCATTCAGATCAACGATGGTCACAGCACCGTAGCCGACTACACGCCCACCGAGCCCACAGCCTACCGCAGCCCCTCGGCACCCGTGAGGAACACCCTGCCTCTTAACGAAGCGGACACAGAGACAGAGGCGGATCGCAGTGGCAAGTCCCTGCTGCCGGAGGTCATCAGTGGTGCATTGGAGACATCCACCATATCGCTGGAGGGACTCTTCGATTCGCCCCGCAAGGGCAAGCAGTTGAGCAGCAACAGCATACTCCAGGATGATATAGAGGAGACAACGACCATCGAAAGCGAAAGCGAAACCACGGTGGTGCCACCCACCTTTGCTGCCGTCCAGGCCACATACGTAAGACCCATTGTACCCCTACTGCGTCCCGAATCCAACGAATCCTCTCCCCTAGTCATCTCGATAGCCAATCTTGATAAAGTCATACTGAGCAAGGTGCAGAAATCGCTGGCCGAGTCGAAAGGCGCTGGTGCCCAAACGAGCACCACCGATGCCACTGATGCCACTGATGCCACCGATGCCACCGATACCACCAGCAACGATTCGAATTCAGCATTCTCTGTGCGTCATGCCTCAGTGCTGCAGGCACCAATACCCGACACCAACACTCACAAAACACAACAAAAACAACAACAACAAGAACATAAACTAGAAACCACAACCCCAATTGACAACAATCAACAGCTGCCACCGAGCAGTGGCGCTATTAGTGGACAAGACACAACAACAGCAATTAACACTCAACAACAGCTGTCGAACAACAACAGTGATGGCAGCAGCAACGGCAACAGCAACACCACACAAACAACAGCAACAACAACCACCAACAACAACATTGGCAGAAGCGTGAGCGAGATAGTCAGCTATAGCACAGAGACCCATGTGGTGCACCGCAAGAAGAAGGCGGGTCGCAAGGGGCGTGGCCGAAGACTGCGCAAAAAAACAACAACAGCCCCAGCCACAGGCCCAACCACATCGATAGACGACGCCACAGTGGTGCCGCCTCAGTAGGGCCGCCAAAACACCCCCTCCCCCAACACGTAGTTAGTTATTTCTAGTCTTATCCCCTGAGAACGCACCCGCCCCCTCCACGAAGAGAGCTTTTTTCGGGCGTTTAACCCATTGCAAGCTTAACCCCTTGCTGCCTGCCACTGTCCCTTGTAAATAATTGGCTGCGTTGCTTTGTCTTTGAATTAACAGCAAAAACAAAAACAAACACAATTTTTGGGCGCTGATTTTTCCAAATTTCTTCAGAAAACATAAACCAAAATTCCCCATTTTCAAGTGCTGCCTGCTTTTCGGAATATTCTATTTCTACTTTCATTTCTATACTCGTAAATATATATTTTTAATATATTATTTAAACAATTCGTATTCTTCAAGCTGCCATACCTAAACAAAAACAAACACACACAAACATACATACACATATACTTACAAACACACATACACAAACGCACATATATACATTCCACGATGCAGATACGAAAAGTCTTTCCTTGGTTCAATCAATCAATCAATTCGAAGTACCTTAAAGATCTTTAAAATTTTGCTTTTGTTTGCGCAGTTCTTCCTCTTAATTTTTCCTCTCCACTATTTTTCCACACTCTTCTTTTCCCCTATCCGAAAAAATATCTTAAGTATAGCTCTAGTTGTAAAATATTTATGCACAACAAATAAAATAATGAACAAAAAGAAACCAATTATACCACATATCTTTTTTGAACAACAACAGCCACAACAGAACACAAAGACCTGACCCCAATACCAATAATCCCTATATACATAATGGTAAAATGGTTTTGTATATTTGTATATATTTTATTATATTTTAATACATTTTTATTATTGAACACATTATTTTAACACATAATATTTTCTACATTTACAGATAGCTTTTTAGGGACTTCTAAGAGTTTTATTTAGATCATTAAAGTTGCAAGAGAAATCTTTAGATGCCGTGAGGCCCCAACGTCGACTGCCAGCAAATGTCACCTGTAGAATCACATTATCTTAGTCTCTTCTGTGGATTCCAGTGCTACCTATGAAATGTCATCGTTTCATGAAGTGGCCTCATGCCTCATCATTATGCAAAAAAAACACTCATTAAAAGCCAGTGCACAGGGAGAAATCAGGATAGTATTACATATTATTGTCGTATAGTCAAAAAGACTAGTTGAAATATTCTTCGTTTTGCTTTATCACACTCAACCTTCACCGATTACCGAATCGAAAATACCGAATGCTTTTGAATCGAAAACGCCATAAATATTTTGGTATTTTGTATACCTTACTTTGGATGCAACCTTTTTGTTGCATCTTCGAAGTCATTCGAAATGCTGAACATTTTTCGCTGTGTGCATATGGGTACATACATATGTATGTATGTACATATACCCCTGGCCTGTCCGGATGATCGGTTTCAACTTTCGTTGGATCCACCGCACAAGATGTGCAAAGTCAGCAAAGAGTCAGTCAGCGCAAAAGAGCAAACAAAACATAAAATAAAACGAGTTCACATTAAAACAATTTGCAAAAGACTTGAGCAGACAGGGTAGACATGTTTCATAATCGTAATTGTCGTCGGTTTGGTTGGAACTACTCCACGTAGTCCCCTCCACCGTGCTCCCCCCTCAAATGATAATTGCCAAAAGTCAAATCACGCGCCGCATAACAACACCAAAAAACTGAAAACTGACAAAAATACAAAAAATCTCCGAAATCAGGTTGACAAAAAGAGTCGTTAACGTGAGAAACATTAAAACGGTTCAACGGTTTGTCAAGTGTCTTGAAGAGACGGTGCCAGCGGCGTCGTGAGATTTTGTCTTTGAAATCGTCGAGTGGATGTCAAGAGTGCATGAAAATCCAATTTGAAAGACATAGTAAAATAATAAATAATAAAAAGAAGCCCAAACAATGCCCGCAACCAGTCTTCTCATTGTCTTGTCCGCGAGTTTAATGCCAATGTGTTCCTTCCCAGTGGGAGATTCCAAGAAAGATTACCGCATCTTTCGACTATTTTCCTTATTCTTCCGTCTGTGTTTTGAATGTCAAGCAGGAGAAGTACAGATCAAAGTGTAGCGACTCCATTTAAGAATCCAAAGATAAGCAAACCTTCTTTCGAATCTATTCCAAAGCTGTCCAAAGAAAAGCTTAGTCAAAGAGAAGCTTCCAACCACTCTACTCTCGTTTGTGCATTCTTGTTTCTCTTCGCTCTCCCCTGATCAGGCAAATGAAAAGTGCTCTTTCTCTCCCTCTCCCTCTCCATCTCTCTCTCTCTCTCTCGTTGCAGCTGCATCTTAACCTTGAGGAAGCTCTCACTCCCATTCCACAGAGAGCCCTTCCCATTCCAGGGGCGCGCTTTCACTCTTGTTTCTTGAGTCTTTTGATTTGCACATGTCCGCCCCAGAGGCAACTTTCACAAAACAAAAAAAAAACAAGATACGCAGATGACGACGCCCATCATGATGGGGGGGGGGGGGGTTTGCACAATATTTAATTAAGGTTCCCAACCAGTTTGACAGCGCGCATCTGCCTGCAAAGCAGCTGCTACAGCAGTAGCAGCAGCAGCAGCAGCTTTGGCGCTCCGGGATTATGCAATCACATTGGAATGCAGTCGACAGCAGAGTTGCCAAATACCAGATCTGCCCGCAGGCTGCTGCTGCGTTCCAATCTTCCAATCCATTTGAAGCGATGAGCACTGTTATGCAAGCTCTCTGCACCTCCCCTCCCCTCCCCTCCTCCACAACGATGAAAGTGTGTCATCCATCTGCCCAGCCCTAAAAGCCCCAAAAGTCCCAAAAGCCCCGGCACCCACTCAAAAGATAATCATATGCGTGTGCCACACTTTGCAGATAAACTTGCTTCGTCTGTTTCCGTTATGCAAGCTTTTGTCTTGAGGCGTGTCTGTCTATTTCTATGCCTATGTCTATAGCTGTGTCTTTCCATCATCGCCCTTCGAGCGACATTGACACAAGCGTCGAGGGCCTTTGATCAAAGCTCTTGAAGAGAAACTCTCTCTCTCACTCGTTTTCTATTTCTTTTTGTGTCTCCTTCTTGGAGCTGTTTTCAATGTCAACAACATTGTCGGACAAAAAAACAACAACAGAAGGCTAAAGAAAAAAACTAGCACAAATTACTCGCAACGCAACTGGCATTTTGCTTGGGTATTTTTCCACATCTATTATCGAATGGTATTTATTTTGCACTCCAACGTCCTTCAATTAAAATATCTGACTGCATTTTTTGCTATTGCTGTTGCTCCCAACAATCAAGTGCTCTCGTTTGTGGTTGACATTCGCATTCAATCAAATCGACTGGAAGAGGGGGGCGTTATAGCACTTGACTGGCATTGGAATGGAAAATATAGCGTATAGTACGTTTAAAGGTTTTCTTTTCATCTGTGCTCTACTGAAACACTGGAAGGCTAAAACGTTTAAGATATGAACAGGAATAGGAATGGAAAGTACAGCTTTGGGGGCACTTTGAAGGGGTTCTCTGAGGGCTTTTGATACTTCCAAAGATATCTTTCTCTCTACGTCTTTCGCTTATGGATCTCCTGAAAAACTCTCTCTAAACAAAACAAAACACAACAAACACAAAGCCAAACCAAACGCCAAATGCCTAACAATTTATTGTACAAACAAATGTTAGTAATTGCTTAGATTTTCTTTTCTTTTTAGTTGAAACATTTACTAATACTAATGCTAAAAGTATAGATATTGATTAAAATGAATTAATTATTTTATTGTTTTACTATTATTTATCAGCATGTAGCGCGCTTTTGAATTGTTGTTGAGCTGTGAAAACTGCACCGCCAGGAAAAATGCACAATCAAACAGAAATAGAATGTCACAAAAAATATCACAAATCACAAAATCTACCACAAATATTACACAAAAAGTATCACAAAAAAGTCTGAAAAAGTAGAATACACACGCGATAAAAAGTGAATACCCTGTAAATAGCCTTTCAAATAGAAAACTAACTGGAACTCTGCTTGCTGTCATCTCCCTCTCTTTCCATGTACCGCTAATCACCGCTAATCGCACCTCCGACCGGCAGCTGCGCCAGCCGACAACTGCCAACGTCTCGAGGCGCCCCGTGCTGAGTGTGCGCCGGCGCATTATCAATACGCCAACGTCGGCGGCGGCGGCAGCGGCAGCGGCAACAGCAGCAACGACCACGCAAATTGCAGAATTAACAACGACCTCTAAATACAATCGACTGCGCAGCAGGCCAGCAGTGGCAGCAGCAACCACAATTCCAGCAGCAGCAACAGCAACAGCCGCCACAATTCCGCCAGCAGCTGCTGTTGGGGCAACGTCTGCAGCAATCGCAGCCGCGGCCAGTGCCAACAGAGGCAGCAGCAATAGCAACGGTTATCTGAGTAAGCTTAAAGCCAAAAGCTCATCATCTGCAGAGACAACAGCAGCGATCGTCAACGGCAGCGGCAGCAGCAGCAGCGCCAGCAGCAATGATATCACACAAAAGCAACACAAATTCCAGCCAGCGAGCTTTGCGCTGCGACGCCAGTTCCAGACGCGTCGACTGACGACCTTTGCGCCCGGAGCGAGCAGCGGAGATGAGAGTGGTGAGTAGAGCAGCGACGCCAGCAGCAGCAGCAGTGGCAGCTACAGTAACAGTGGCAGCGGCAGCCTCAGCCTGAAGGTATATTAAAGAGAAGGTACGGCAGTGAGCATCGCTCCTACCTTCCATTTAATATACGGATAGGCTCTGGTGTGGCCACCCGATATCAGAGTGGCAGAGGTGAAATGTGTACAACCAATGTCTCTCTCTCTCTCTCTTTTACTCCCACGACGATCTCTCTCTCACGCTCTGTCTTGGAAATGATAGATGTTTTTTTGTATACCGCAGCCACTGAGGTGCCGCGCACCCAGAACCCCCTCTTCAAGCGCCGCCTCACCCTGATATCCACCACACCACCCCCGGCCACGCGCACCACCATTGTGCCAGCGCTGACGGAGACCACCACGCATCTGTATGCCAACGAGGACGATGAGGATCAGGTGGCCAAATCCAGCATCCACACGAGCCGCTTCAATCAAATACCCTTCGAGAGTGTCGCCAGCAGTGGCAGCACCACTACCAGCAGCAGCACCACTAGCACCACCGCAGCCACACCACTGGCCCTCGGCCCGGGGATACGTGAGTCCCCAACACCTCTCCAGTACTAGAAAAGGCCTCTCCTCTCTGACGATCCAATTTCCCTTTTATTACAGGTCGCCAGCTAGTGCCACGCCCACGTCGGCCACAGTCCACCACAGTGGCCACGCCCTACTACTCAACTGGAAACCCTGGGGCCGGACACTCAGCTCCGCCCCTGTCGCGCCGTCAGCAGAGTCGTCGCCGGCCTCACAAGTACATCGAAGTGTACAGCCGACCACCCAGTAAGCCCGCCCTGGTGACGGCTACCGCCAGCAGTCGGCGCAACGACTACCCAGCGGCCCTGGACTACGAGGAGGGTGGCCAGAGGCGCCGCAGCAGCAAGTCCCAGTCCGCATTGCAATCCCAATCCCAGTCGGAGCCGAAGGTAATCGTACATGGCAGGGGCATCATCGAGTGCCGAGCCCAGGGTAATTTTCCGCATCCTCTCAACTGCCGGAAGTTCATTTCCTGCGCCCGGTTCGAGGAGACCGGCGGCATCGTCGGATGGGAATACACCTGCCCCAAGGGTCTCACCTACGATAGCAACGATGGCATGTGCACCTGGTCACCCTCGGATCACGTTGCCTGCCGGGATTAGGTGGCAATGACTGAATATATAGACACACCCGTACATGCACCACCATTTACCATTCACCATTCTCCCATCTCTAATCGAATTTCACACCACTCCCATCTCTAATCCAAGAACTACATCGGGACTTCCGGTTCCTGCACCCACCCCAAATTGATTTCCTTTCCATTCCCATGCTACATGCCCCATGTTGTAAATGTTTTTATTCTAATTTGTGATTAGTTCTGCTGAAGATGATGAAATTGATGATGAGGAAGTCTACGACGATGATGAGGATGAAATTGTATGTTAATTATTTAAGCTTAGTGATATCTCGAGAACGTATTTTTTGCGCCCTGCCAACTCAGCGAGTAAGCAAAAAGTTTTGTCTATAGCTCCATCGATCGCCCAATTGCATACCGATGTCTGCTATATGCTATATATTATAAAGGATAATATGCTTTCTGTATCAAATAAACATAAACATATCTTGTAATCCAACATCAATGGTGTGTTCTCAGTTTTGGAATAGATCTAATAGACTAGAAGGTTGCCTCTACGACCTTCATATTACAAAATGGTAAAGATATTTATATAAAGGAGAGTGATAATATAATCCAGATGTGATTCGACTTGCTTTGGTACGAGTGTGCTCATTTCTTGCAGACAGCGAAAGGGATACAGTCCCATAGACTCCGAAATGTGTATGTAAAAAAGAAGATTTTTCCTAAATAATTATATTTAGTTCCGTTTTCAAAATTGATTTCTTCCTATGTATATTTACATACGAATTGTAATCCAATATGTCAAGACTTGATCCAAAGAATTCCATTTTAAACAGATCTCATATAATAGTGCAATGATTTTTTATTGTGAATTAAAAAAACGAAGCGTAATCTTAAGATTCGATGAGGAAGGAAATTGCATGCTCTGATGGATGGTGTGGGGGTTCATTCGCATGAGGGTTGTGCGATCCGGATTGGATGTATTGGAAGTAGATGGTCTATTGGCGGAGTCCCTGGCGTTGACCCTGGGCGGATTGCCTCCAGGCCTCATGGACGGCGTGGTAGCCGGTCTGGGTCTGGGCGGGAGTGCTGCGGCCGAAGGGGCTCTTGGAGTTCACCTGGAGCATGTAGTCGCCCTGGACATCGTAATCGGTGGCGATGCCCATGTAGGTGCGCTTGCCATAGCCGTTATTCTGCTTGTACTCCTTGTACGAGCAGGCGGCGACGGCGGGGAAGTTGCGCTCGTTTCCAGGGCGGACGGACTCGGCGAAGTAGCGAGTGGCGCGCATGGAGGCCTCAACAACGTTGTCGGCGCCGGGAACACCGGTCGATGGTCCGTTGGGGTAGAAGTCGACATTGGCCAGGCGCTCAGGAGTTCCCATGCCGTAGGCGGAGGTGTGGATGGCGTCGACAAAGTCGGCATCGCCGCGGGCCAGGCCGCTGAGCTTCTCCTCGGGCTTGCCGTAGATCTTGGAGGGGTCCAGGCCGGTGATGCGGCGCAGCTTGTGTCCGGTCTGGCGGGTGAACTGGCGTCCGGCAACTCCAGCAACATGGGCGGCGGGTCCCTGTCCAATCAGATGGATAATCTCCTGGGGCACGTTCACGGCGTTGGTCAGCTCCACGAGGCAGTTGCCGATCTGCTGGCCGAGGCGCTCCACATTGAGAGTGGCGTACTGCTCAAAGTCTTCGATGGCATCGCCGAGATTGATCACGATCAGGTCTCCGGTCTTGGTGTCATCCTGCTCCTGGCTCTGCTTGCGGCGCTGCTGCTGCTGCTCCTCGCTGCTGGACTTCTGCTGCTCCTCGCTGGTCGACTGCTGGCTGGGATAGGGCTGGAGGTTGTACCGCTGCTGGTAGGCCCTCACCAGCTTGCTGGTGGCCTTGCGCACCTGCGACGAGCTCTGGGGCAGGCCCTGGATGAAGATGGTCACCTCATCGTCGCCAAAGTTGGGCTGACGCTTCACCGTCTGGACCAGGTTGTTCAGGTTGAACTCGACCTTCTGGCCGCGCTCGCCCACGATGAAGCCCTTGATCTGGCTGGGCGTAGGGGTGTACTCGGGCTTGAACACGTTATTGAACTGGGACAGATGATCTACAGAAAACAGGGATAAGGGATTACATTGGGGAAAAGTTGAACAGTGCTAGAGTAAGGGGACTACTTACAGAGCTTGTCCAAGAGAGTGGCACCCTCCTCGAGGCTCATCTCCTGCAGCTGGCGCAGATTCACCTCCTTCAGGGAGGGCAGCTCCTCAATCTCACGAGGATTCACCCAGTTGCTGGGCTGATCGATGTTGCTCAGAGAGTTGGAGCGGTGGCGGCTCGAGGATCCCGTGTTGGAGTTGGCCATCGATGCTGCCACCAGGCAGGCCATCAGGCAGAGAGTGCGCAGAGGATTCATCGTAATCGGTGATGGGTGATCGGTAGAGACTCGGACTGGATGATGTGCCAAGCTGTACTGCATAATTCTGACACGGTTTCTGTGCCTTTTATAGCTCCGTCTAAAAAGAAGCAGCTTACCGATCCCGCACGTGCCATGGATCGACAGAACGGAAGCAACGATCGATCGATCGATTGGCTGATCAGCAGAAATTCTAGAACCGAATTGCACTTTTCTTTTTGTCGAGTATTTCTCGTTTCATTTCGTACATATTTTCCGCTTTATCAGTTTGTGCCGATTGTGGCGTCAGCAGTCAGCGGTCGATTCTTGATGATGATGCGGCTTCTGTCTCTCTACCACATTTCCTCTACTGAAAATTGGGCAACTTCATGGGAAACTTACGTAACAGCCAGATCCGAGGCAGCGATCGATATCGATCGGGTTTCATTTCGGAAAAGTGCATGAGATAATCTCATGATCGATCGATCGGGTTGAAAGACCTCTCAGATTGATAGATTCTAATATATTTTAATCGAACGATATTATAGACAGATTTTATACTTTTGGGACATAAATTCAAGACCTGTTGTATAGTTTTTTTTTCACACAAACTATTGATGGACTTTCTGGTTCCCAAATGAATTCTTATGGGGCATAAAAACACACCTCCTGAATTCTTTCAGCATTTCAGTGCTTCCTATGAAGATCTCCCATGAAACTCTCCTAAAATAGTTACCCTAAGATACCAAATGACCGAAGCCATTAGGAAACGCAGTTCTCCATTTGATACGATATGAAGTTCTGCCCCATATCATCGTTTGCCTGTCAGCAAAAATCTTGAAAGAGCGGAAATTGACTCACATTTCCCTTTAAAGACTTTGGAATTTAAGGGTGTACGATACTAGGAGAAAGGCAGTTCAAAGTTGGAACAGTTTTACTCGGCTTAACCTTGAGAATCTCTCTTGTAAGAGAAAGAGAGAGAGAGAGGGACTTTTCTCTCATTTTAACCTTTGAATTCTATCTATCTAGTACATTTCTATCTGCCATAGAAACGCAAGCCCCTTAGTGATTCGATTCGATGAGGAATCAATGAACCTGCATTTTATTTGCTCTTTGAAATTCGAAGTTCGAATGGAGATGGAAATTCAAAGGCAGAAAGAGAATTACTGTATGTACTCCCAAATAATGGACTTGAAAGTGGAAAATATAAATGCCCTTAGATTCATAATCAGTTGAGGGTTTTACAATGTAATTACAAATTAATATTTGATTAATCACGGCACTCGGATTATCATCATCTGCTACAGCGACTGCATTATACATACATATAATCGTACTCGCACTCGAACTAATCATCAGTTTGTTCCCATGAGTGACAATCCCTTACGCTGCAGAAACCCCAATCGGAGGAGAGCTCAACTGCACTGCACTGCACTGCACTCCCGAAATGCCTGACGAGGCAAAAAAGGCTGCAAAGTGGAAAATTGCAATATGAATATATGGAAAATATCAATTGGATTGATAAGCAAAACAGATCGATCGCTATATAAACGGATGACCGGCCAACGGTAAGACAGTTCCACTCATCGACTTGCAGCTTAAGTGTTGAAGTCGTAGTCGAAGTCGAAAAGCCGCCCTATACCCCGGACCACTCCCCCCCCAAAGGACACCATCATGAATCCCATGAGAGTGCTCAGCATGCTGGCCCTCCTGGCCGTCGCCGTTATGGCCAAGCCAGGCAGCAGCCATATGGACAACTCCGTCAGCCAGGCCCTCAAGCCGTCCCAGTGGCTCTCAGCCTCTGCGCTGGAGGCCATTCCCGCCGCCGATGATCTGACCGTGGAGCGTCTGGAGAACATGTCCCTGGAGAAGGGAGCCGAGCTCCTGCAGCAGATCTGTAAGTATTAAAGCACACACCCCACATTTTACCGGTGCCAGACATACTTATAGAAAAATTCTTTCTCTCAGACCATCTCTCGCAGATCAACCACAATGTGGAGCCGAACTTTGTGCCCAGCGGCATCCAGGTGTACGTGCCCAAGCGCAACGGCGAGAAGATCGTAGCGCCCCTGAACGAGATGATCCAGCGTCTGAAGCAGAAGGAGAACTTTGGCGACGATGAGGTGACCATCATCGTTACTGGCCTGCCCTCCACCACGGAGACGGTGAAGAAGGCCAACCGCAAGCTGGTCCAGGCCTACATGCAACGCTACAACCTGCAGCAGCAGCGCCAGCACGGTAACGGACGCGACTACGACGACAGCAACGAGAAGAAGGGACAGCGCACTTCCAGCGAGGAGAACTCCAGCGAGGAGTCCAAGAATGCCAAGACCCAGAGCGGCGACATCATTGTACGTTCCCCCTTGGGATCTCTAGATGTCCAATCCTCTGATCTCTTTAATCTCACTCATCCCTCTAGGTGATTGACTTGGGTGCCACTCTGACCAACTACAAGCGCTATGCCATGCTCGACATTGAGAAGACCGGCGCCAAGATCGGCAAGTGGATCGTCCAGATGGTCAGCGAATTGGACATGCCCTTCGACACCATCCATCTGATCGGCCAGGGTGTGGGAGCCCACGTTGCTGGTGCCAGTGCCCAGGAATTCACCCGCCTCACCGGACACAAGCTGCGCCGCGTCACCGGTCTGGACCCCTCCAAGATTGTGGCCAAGACCCGCCACACCCTCACCGGCCTGGCCCGCGGCGATGCCGAGTTCGTCGATGCCATCCACACCTCGGTCTACGGCATGGGCACACCCGTGCGCAGCGCCGATGCCGACTTCTATCCCAATGGACCCGCCGCCGGAGTGCCCGGAGCCGAGAACGTCATCGAGGCCACCATGCGTGCCACCCGCTACTTCGCCGAGTCCGTCCGCCCAGGAAATGAGCGCAGCTTCCCCGCCGTCCCTGCCAACTCCCTGCAGCAGTACAAGCAGAACGATGGATTCGGCAAGCGCGCCTACATGGGCATCGATGCTGCCCACGACATCGAGGGCGACTACATCCTCCAGGTGAATGCCAAGAGCCCCTTCGGCCGCAATGCCCCCGCCCAGAAGCAGAGCAGCTACCATGGCGTCCACCAGGCGTGGAAGAACGACAACAAGGACTACGACTAGACAGTGCCCCCCACCACCCAATGAATGGACAGCACAACGGATGGACTTCCCATTTAGCATTCTCTAGACTCTAAGCTAAACCCATAAATTGGCATTTTCTCTACCCATTTAACGAGCCACTCGCAAAAATTCAAATCGCAAATAAACGCTAAAGACTCTTTTGAAAAGGTGTCAAAACGTATCCAGGAATTTTGTGCTGGGATACACCCTTAAGGAAATCTTTGGAATAAGTTTCCCACCAGATCTTGATGCGGGATACCACTCCAAAAGGATTGCTTTGCCGCAGCATTAATAGCCGAGAAAACTAAAAACGCAAAATCATACAAAGTTACCATATCATCTGCTATATAGCCGAATCTGGATTAGATCGGATTACTTTTAAAGTCTGAAGATACGCTCTCGCCATGCACCGTTGGCTGCTGTGGGACAGCCCCGACAATCCGATGGCAATGTCACTCCAGAGCCCGACCGTCGTGCGAAACACTCTCCCCACCGGCCGAAGTCCCCACGGCTTCCAAAACACCTTGGACAACTCTGGGCGACTGGCCGAGCGGGACCAAGTTTCCCCTTATCAGGGCTTCTCAGGGTCCAGAGTGTATCAATCATCAATCAGGCCATCAACTGGTAGAAAAATATTATTTGCAATTGAAATTAAAAGTTGTGCACTTTCAGTTTCGCGGTGGAGGACAACTTTTGTAGGATAAATATTGTTTGAGCACTAGGACTAGGACTGGTAAAGGACTCGGACAACTGGAGGACTGCTGGAGGACTTACCCTCAAACACGAGGTCTACCAACCCCAGAGTAGAGCTTTTCAATAGACAACTACCAAAGAAAGACTCACATGAAAAAATGAGCTAGAGCTTGAAAATAAAGTTCCGAAAATTTGATTCCAAGCCAAAACACTGATGTAGGAATATTTTCAGACCTGCTTTTTCCGCAAAAAAATAAACTCAGAAATGTATCCCCCCATCGATTGGGTTTTTGTAAACTTAGATTTATTTCATTGTTGTCTGTGTGTCTGCGTGTCGGGTATTTGGGGCTCCTTGGAGTGGTTTATGGATACTGTGGATTAAGGATTCTGTGGGGTAACAATATGCTGGGGTAATATGATGCTCGACCGTGAAGCAATAATAACAACTAGAAATACAGCCAAGAGTAAGGATCAGGGCCTAGCCATGAACTTAAACTAGTTTTATTTCTTTTTTTTTGGTTTAGCTTTGGATTTAGTTAGTTCTTTAGTTAAGTGCACATTCCGAATTGTTAGAAATAGTATATTTCTAACAATAGTTTTTTATTTTTTTTTTTTTGAGTTTTTTGTTTTTTTTTTGGTAGCTCTAGCAGATCAATGCAAAACGAAAATATGTTCCGGCCAAGACAGCGGCCCGCCTCGAAACATTGGTAAAAGCACAGGCTAAGTGTCTTAAAAGTTAGCTACAGTCTTTCTTAAGATTTACCCACCCCAAAAACCTCTCTATGTGTATATATGTACATATATGCTTATGTACATGTCCCCCATTATATGTGTATATATTTTCTATATATGTATGCAGTATATTTTCATATCGGTATATACACTATTTAATCGCTCGTTTAACAATTAATTTTGATTTTATATGGTAGGTATTTTATAACAATTTCATTGTTTTTCTCCATTTTTTTGGTTAGAGTTTACGTGAGTGGAAGCAGCTTTTCTTTTTATGGATTTTTCCCTGGGAAAACGAATATATTTTATGTATTTTCCCAGCTACTATAGCATATTAAATATATCTATATATTTTGTTTCGCTTATTTGGAAACATTGCTCATTGGATTTATCATACTAGTTTTATTCAATTGTGAGGCCGATAACTAAAGCACGTGGCATTTTGCCATTTATTTAAAATGTTTATCAAACGTGTATATCGATATACATATCATTTATCGATTATCGATTATATATATATAGATCATTTGGTGCGCTCTACAGTGCAAAATATTTGCTCAATTATAAAATTGTTTCACAGTTTGTTGAATTCGAACAAAAAAAAAAACAAACAACAAACCAAAAAAAAACAACAAAGAATCTGAGTGGAAAAGCAATATAGTCGAGTACTTAAGTCTGGTACGACTATGCGAGAACCGTTCCTCGATTCGGAATCTGTTTGGAATATCTAATGATATCGTGGCTTTTTAGAACAACGGACAAACGTCTAGAACGTAAGATCGGAGTAGGAACGGATCTCAGAAGAGGATTCGTCAGAGTCAGGAGCATAAAGCAAACATTGGCTGGTTTTTCTCTATATATAAATTGATTGGATCCATCCGAAAGATACTCGTACGATGGCATGGGCATTAACTAGGCAAAAATTGAAAACTGTTTTGTTGTTGTAGCTTCAGCAAATTCATTAATAATTATACGTTCGTTATTGGTAAATCCTTACAATTTCCGTTCAATTGAATTTGTATCACAGCAATATATTTGTTTTTAGTTTTTAGTTTAGTTATTATTTATAAGTTAGTGTATATATATATTCCAGATATTTTTAGTGTGGTATTGTAGTGTTGTGGCGTGGTGTGGCGTTGTGTGGCGTTGTGTGGCGTTGTGTGGCGTTGTGTGGCGTGTCGAGTGGTGATTCGGAAAAGCAAACCAAATCAGATCTTGGATAGCGCCTAACTCTTCTCTGAAGCACAAAGGAAACCGAAATCAAATCAAACTCGTTTCTAGTATTACTCTGTAGTACTCGTATCTGTAACTAGTGTAAGCTCTAATAACAATCCGAGATCAAACCGCAATCAACAACCTATGTGGTAAGTGTTTGTACTCTCAAATACGTTTGATGGTGGGACCTGTAAAAAATACCGAAACTTTGCGCTTAAATCTCTCCATCGTGGGCTCGTGCTCCTCCTCATAGTCCTCGTCATCATCATCAAACACCACCACAGGTGGCGGTGGACGATATTGTGGATGTCCAGGTGGATGCAGGCGACTGGGTCGCGGCTTCTGGCCAAAGATAATGGTGCGTGTAAATCGCACTCGTGCCTCCTCCTCCGCTTCGGCAGCCGCTTCCGCTTCCGCATCGTTCTCAGCATCGCCACCAGCAGCCCCACCGCCTCCATCCGATTCGCTGAAACCGGGATTAAGTATTATATTCGGTATAAGCTCAATGCTGTCCCAACCATCTTGCAGTTCTTCAAGCCACCATAGAAGAAGGATATATACATATATGTATATGTATATGTATACATATATAGAAAGAGATAGAGAGGTATATAGAAAGAGAGAGAGAGAGAGAGAGAGAGAAAGACAAATACATTTATTAGACAAATTTATGATAATTGTTCTGTACTTTACCTCTTCTTTGGTATATTGGTTTTTAGAGGGGGAATAGTTTTGTTTTAGCGTGTATATGTTCAGGGTTATATTTTTATGTGTGGATGTGTTTATATAAGTCTATGTGTGTGTGTGTGTGGGTGTGTGTGGGTGTGTGTGCAACAGTTAAACAACATTGAAAGCACGACCATAGAGACACTCAAGGGCAAAACTTTTAGCTCAAGTCACACCATCGGCAAGCAATGGTAGAGCACGTGGGAATGGTTAAAATATAGACATTCTCGTGTACACGTACACGTGGCAAAGAATATTCAATGTGAATGGCAATTTCCATGTGCATGCCCATCGTGTAATAGCTAGTACTGCCCTCGTATATGTAGTATATTTTGTATCTGCATAGTGTATGAGTGTGTGTGTTGTGTGGGCACATTCTATAGCGTGTGTCTTCTGTGGGAGTGTGTGTGTGTGGGTGTGGGTAACGAACATAAATCAAACACTCAACAAAATATTTATACATTTTTTCGGGTTTGTTTTTGTTTTCCATTAAAACGTTTAATGTTCTCGTGCTTGGTTTTTAAATGCAAATAACATAATAATATTCGGTAAATTACATAAACGGTTACAACATTGATAAAGCTGTTTTTTGTTTTTCTTTTGGTTTTTTTTTAGGCATTTTACAATATTAATTATGCAATATTTTTCTAGTTTATTTCTGTCGGGGTATATCTTTGGTTATCCCTTTCTAGCCGTTTTTGATTGCTTCAAAATTGTTTAAAACTTCAAAACGGTTTAGAGTTTTTTCGGTATTTTTGTTTTGGTTTTTTTTTTTTAATTGCTTGCTACAAGTGCGCTGGCTATCACAGTTAAAGTGCTTAAAGCTTTGATTTCTTTGGTCTACGAATGCAATTCTTAGATTTTTTTGGTTTCTTTTTTTGTATTTAAGGGAAAAAGCGCACTTTCGTTGGCTTAAGGCTACAGCAGGGTACGATTCTAGGCTTCTAGTTTCTACATATATAAAGATTTGTTCAATGGCATAATTGTGGATGAATAGGTATGAAATATTGAGCTGGAATATTTGCTGAAATAAATCACAGTAAATTTTCCTAGTTATGAGCTCAACGGAAGAATGGTGTTACTGTACTACCCAATATTTTAAATGAAACAAATTTTTTTAAATAGAAACATTTAATGGTATACGAAAAAGGCTATTCGAAAATTAGGTTCAACTATCTTGAATGGAAGACCAAGCGTACAATCTTCACAAATAAATTCCCCTCAAAAGGAAACAACATTCCAATTAGAGCTCTGCATGAATGAGTCACGAATCCGGCAGGATTCACTTCTCTTTACCCCACTAATTTATTTGAGTGTTGGCATCTGGACGAAGTAAGTATACTCCAAGGCATACCGCTAACCCATGATAGAATCATTTGGTAGGTGGTGTCTTCACCACATCTGCTCTCTTTCGAGGACCATCCGTTTATCGAAAGACGTACAGCTTATTTATTAGCGAACATATTTTCTTTTCTGTCAGCTGAAACAACAACCAACGAAAAGAGGAGAATGTGAAACGTTTGCTATCCATTTCTAGAGCCTGTCTCTCTGAGAACTGAGAGAGCGAGTCGGAAAAGTGGATGGTCCTCACTACAGCGGACGAGACGACCTTTAAGAAAGATCATCATGCTTTAACCGAAATGAATGGAGTTTAACTGATGAAAAAATCTTTATATACGAACATATGTTGTACATATGTGGACAGCATATGGTATATGGTATTTGTATTTACAAATTATATATAGGGCCATTGGTACTAAAGCTATATACATACATATCATGACTTATAATTATAAACAACATTGACAATAAAGCAAACAATTGTTTCGGGGGCCGTTGCCAGACATGGATATAGATATAGATAGCCACTCATACAACACGCAAATTATAACTGAATGGAACATTGAACAACAATTGCAACAATATCAACAATAACAATAGCAACAACAATAACAGCAAATAGCAATAGCCATAGCAATGAGAACAACAATGCGTGAGAGTAAACAAAAAGGAGAAACATAACTCAAAATTCAGCTAAGAAACCAAAGATTATAGAACACTTAGATTACGCATCGCTACCAGTTGTAGAACCCTCTCACACTCTTTTCGTTGCAAAGATTTCGTTGCCGTTGCGTCATCTATGTGGTTCTAAAATCTTTGTTAAAACTCATCCAAATGAAACACACAAAAAATGGTTCTAATCCATTGCATTGCCCAACACTGGCACACACAAAACACAGGAACAGTAACAGGCATTTGCTGCACAGCACTGGCAAGCCACACACAAAACGTGAAATCTTTTGATTTTGATTAATTGATTGTTTGTTTGGTTGGAGTTTGGAGTTTTTTGGATTTGGTTTTTCTTTTCTTTTTTTGAGTTTTTGTGAGTTAATGCGACTTAGTCTGTACCCATTTGCGATGCTTGGTAGCACTCCTTGGAGAGCACAATGCAGAGTCCAATGGCTAATATCACAAGTGTTCCGAGCACTATACTGACGGCCACTATCCAAATGCGTGGATCGAAATTGTCTAAGTCGGGTTTAATAAGGCGTATGAGATCTGAACGCGCAACAAGAGAGATATATATAGGAGAGAAACAGAGATTTATATAGAGATATAGAGAGAAAGAGAGAGAGAGAGAGATACATCACACACATCGAAAGCACTCCCGAAAGGGAGACAGAGAGTAGGAGAGTGATTGGGGGGAGAGAGAGAGAAAAAAGAGATATAGATGGACAACAAAAATAATTACAAAATATACTAATAACAATGATCTATACGATAACGATTTACGATTACGATTACAATTTAAGGTTACGTCAATCGATAATACACGATAACACTAGAGTTGCGGGGCGATGGCAACCAGAGCTGCAACTAGTTTGGTGGCAGCCCTGGCCGCATCCAACTACCGACAACAACAAAAAGAAAAGTACAGTTTACACATTGAAAAAACTAAATACGGATAAGTACGGTTATCCACAGAAAACAAAAAAAGAATACAGTCAGACCCTAGAACCTAACCTATGATAAATGATAAATGCCTATCCTAAGATACAAATCGCCTTACTATCGTATGAGTTGTGTGTGTGGATCTCCACTGAAAGTACTCACCCTCTTCTTTGGTCTCCGGCAAGGTGGTGACATTGGTGGTGACCACCACGCCGCTGCCCAGCTCATTGTTGGCCCATATCCGGAACTCATAGGTGGTGTTGGGCGCCAAACGATACACCTCCATTTGACGCTGAATCATTGCAATTTGTTGGTATTACTTGGGGCTTAAAAATACATAGCTGTAAATACTGACCACATTGGGTGCTATATTGATGGGATCCATGCGGGTCCAGGCGTGCTCGAAGCTGGCATTTGCCGGCGGCTGGCTGTACGAGACATTCCGGAATTCGGCCGTGAAGCTGCGCACCGGATAGCCGCCCGACTGGGTCTTGTTGAAGCGCCAAATGAGAAAACCCAGTATGGTTGATGCCTTGAAGTACAGCTGCGTCACGGGGCCGGGCACAGTGCGCACCGTGAGCTTTGTCCGCTGGTATGCCTGATACGCCAGCTCCTCCTCCTCCTCCTGGCCCTGATCTTGATCTTGATCTGCCTTCTGCCCCAGCTCTTGCTTTTTGGTGTTTGTTGCGGTTGTTGCCGTGTCCTCCTCGGGCAGCTGCTGCTGCTCCTCCTCCTTCTCCCGTCGCGGTGAGGTAGTTGTCGCTGGGCTAGCGGTTGTTGTTGCTCGTGTAGTTGTCGTTGTGGCGAAGCACACATAAATGCCAGCATCCGATATGCTCACATTACGCAGCACTAATACACGACCCGTCTGGGGAAAAGAAGAAGAAGTACATTCTGCAAGTAGATCCTCCATTTGGGGCACCACTCACCTGAACTATCGTGCTGTTGCTGCCGTGCTCTTTCACCCACATTATGTTGCCCTGGGCGATGCAGGGTATGCTGACATTTCCGCCCTTATCCGTTGAGTATTCGTTGTACTTAATCGTGGAGCTGAGCACCGTGAGCACTGCAAAAGAAACCAGAAAGCAGAAAAGGATGAAGGTCAGTCAACAGTGAACCATTTCCCCAGCTCGTCATGCAGCAGTGCATCTCGGTCGATTCAAATGAGCGGAAACCAGCTTCGACCAGCCTATCTTCGATCTGCCCCACACAGTTTGCGCCTGCCACTTGGATTAATTGATTTTGATAGACAGAGGCGACCCATCGGCTCCACCGAACAGGGAAGGCTTCCCTCCAGTGCCTCCAGTGCCTGTTGCGATGTCCGCCGAATGGGTAGACCGCTGTCTGGGCGGATACTTTCAGTTTCTGGCCCTGCGTTGCAGCTACTCCAAGCGTCGCGCGGGTCGCCTGCTGAGCAACCTCTACCTGATGCTGGTGATCCTTGATCTGGTGGGACAGATGAGAAGCTATGCCCATGGTCAAGAGCCCATGGTCGATCGAATGCTCTTCTTTCCCAAGGCCATTCAGGCCGTGAATGTGTTCTACAAGCTGGTCCATGCCCTGATTGCCCTCTTTGCATTGATCGGATGCCAGCGGGAGCGTCGTCTGTTGGAACAGCTGCCACCCACACATGCCACACCGGCGATCTATCGACAAGTGGCCCTGGAGCTCCTGATGGTTGTGTACGCACTGTGGATTTCTTTTTTCGACTACCTGAACGCCGGCCAGATCCTTGAGAACCTGCGCTATGTCTTCAGCTCTCAAGCGGTGCGCGCCCGCTACCTGCAGATGCTCCTCCTGGTCGGACGCCTCCAGGCACAGCTTGAGCAACTGCAGCGCCAGTTCATCGATTGCTCTCTGGACGACTACCAGGAGCTGCGCTCCTCGTATGCCCACCTGGCACGGCTGTGCCGCTCTCTGTCGCAGCTCTATGGCCCGTCGCTGCTCCTGCTAAATGTCCTCGTTCTGGGCGACTGCCTCATAGTCTGCAACGTGTACTTCATGGTGGAGCATCTGGAGGCAGTGCCTGCCACATGGCTAGTCCTCTGGCAGGCCGTCTACATTGTGGTGCCCACCCTTGTGAAGATCTGGACGGTGTGCGCCGCCTGTGATCGCTTTGTGGTGGGGGTAAGTGTCCTCCCACCGTTGAATGAATCGTTCGAGGTTATTCGAGGAAATACTGTTTACAGTCGAAAATTCTGCGACAACAATTAAGCGACAGGCGCGGCAGGACGTCCGAGGAACGCAGCCAAATCGAGGAGTTCGTCCTGCAAATCATGCAGGATACCCTGCAGTTCAATGTCTGTGGCATCTACCATCTGAATCTGCAAACTCTGGCTTCGGTAAGACACGCCCCGGACATAGACAAATGGAGCTCAAAAAGCTTTCTACTCTGCTCTGCTCTCCTTTTCTTGCAGATGTTCTTCTTCATATTGGAAGTTCTGGTCATATTTCTGCAATTTGTGTCGGTCATTCGTTGAGTGAATAAATCATGAAATGTAGCAGGAAAGGCCAAAGCACGAACATGATTTTCTTTCGGGTGGGCTGGGGGAGGCTTCAATTTCTGGCTGTTGCAGAAAATGTTGCCACGACATGCGATGCGCGAAGGTCAGGAGGCGGCATACAAAAACACGCATACAACACAGGACGAAGCAGCGAGGCACCGAAGCCCACTTCCCATGCCCCATATCCTGGCAGCAGGGGGCTGTAGCTGTACTTTTCATCAAAAGCAACCAACTGTTAAAGTATTTTCCATAGGCTTTGAACAGTTTTTGTTTTTTTTTTTTTTGGGCTCTCTTAAGCGATGGTCTTTTCTGGCAGTGGAATAACGATTCATTCAATGCCATTCATTTTTGCAGCAAATGAAAGCATTTAGTTCACTTTTAAAGTCAGTCCGATTACGATATTCGTGCTGTGACTACAGCAATCGACCACAAGAGGCGATGAGCTGCAGAGCAAGCGCCGCTGATCCCTCTCTATCGATATTTATCGATTAATGCTCGATATCATAGGATGAACTCCTTTCTTGGGAATCTCTCGAGTCAATCGTTTACTCGTATCGCTACTTATCGATAAATTCTCGATTTTGCGAGCAATACATGTAAGTGGTATTCTTTGATGAATACTCCAATTCCAATATTTATTTTCTTGAGATTCTCTACAGTCCATTGAGTTATATCGATATTTATCGATAATTTCTCGATTTACCCCTTGTGCTGGAATATTGATACTCTTCAAATATACAATAATACAAGATTTTATTTGTTTTTCATTGACATTCGCTAAATTTGTTGCGTATCAAGCGAAATCTATCTATTATATGAACCTTATATCGTATATCCTCCATATAGAAATGTCCCTCCAATTTGGCAAAATCAATGCGTCAGCAGAAAGGAATATGGCCAAAAATACGTCACCAGCAGACAATGTCGACCCAATTGATGGACAGCCAGGCATCGAATGAGCCAAGTGATTGAATGAGTGAGTGATTGAACAACCCATGTGATTGAATGAGTGAGTGGCTGACTCACTGAATGAACGAGTGAGTGAGTGACCCTTCCATCCACAGACTTCATTCGATTGTGGGTGGGTTCCGTGTTTCAAATCAATTAAGTGACGTCAGCACATGGACATGGATGGACGAGCGGATGGGTGGAGGGGTTCAGAGGCACATCAACCACGTCCCGCCCCCAAAAAGTGGTGTGCCCTGGCCCCCACTTCCGGGCCAAGCAGCACCAACTTTTTGCCAATGGCTTATCAAAGCTATGGATGAATGAATGGACAGCAGGTACTCACATACAGGTTGAAAGTTACTCACATATGTGTTTTCATTCCAAAATGATTAAATCATTTCGTGGTGATGTTTATTTGAAAGTGCAGAAGCAACTATTTTGCAACGAAACCGGCAGAAACTTCCATTGCAAATGCAGGTTCAAGCAAAACAGACTTTCATTTAATTTGAATTCCCCAAAAGATGGAAACCACAGCCAAAGACCAACTCCTTCTCTATACATTTCCTTCATGCGGCTTCATGCGGCTTCATGCGGCTTCATGTGGCTTCATGGGGCGCTGTGTTTTTCTTCACAAGTTGAATAATTAAGGCCCTGCGAGCCTGGCAGCCTCCAGAGGAGCATAAGGAGCATCATTTGCGGGTAGATGTATCCACCAGCAAGCAGGGCAGCAAGCAGCAAGCAACAAGCAAATCAACATAGAGGCATCCTGAAACAGGACCCTGCTGGGAGATCGAATCCAATAGGTTTTCAAGGCAAAAACTTTGCCCGCTGCCGAGCAAACGTTTCGAGGGCTTTCTCGCATAGTCTCCCAGCATTGTGGCCCGTATGTGGGTATCCTTCTCGAAAACTGTACGTACAACTTTCGAGTGGGGAAAGGACTGAATTTTCACTGTTGTTTACAGCACACATGCATGCGAATCAAACTCAATTCAGTCAGAACTTTAATCAGTTTTTGCGGCTTAATCAATGTTCATTCAAAATCAAATTTTAAAATCAACTCACACTCCGATTCAATCTGGTCAACTGAAGTCATTTTGAAGGCCACGAATGCAATTTAAAGAAGTATCGCACAGATATAGCAGCGAAATAAAGTTTTAATTTGAAAGACCAGCATTGCCAGGTTCGAATAACAATCTTTCGAGCAGTGTTGCCGTCATATGGACCCCGCAAAGATATCGTTGCCAGAAACATGTACTCATCATTCTCGTATACCCGGAGTGCTACCCCATGACATGGTTCTGTCAATTTTGGGTTGAAACTGTTTGCAATATTTATGAGTCCCCCTAGAGCGTCCCTCGTTGGTTCGTTGTCGCATTCGTCGTGTCAGCGACCGAGGCAACCGAAAAAACCCTCCCGCCGCGGCTCCCACATTTGTTTTTGCGATATGTATATCAAATATACTATAAACAGAGAGGGCCCTGACATTTCCATGGCGTTTAATAATGCATTTGTCTTAGAACCATTGAATCCATTAAAATCGTCGTCCAACGGATCATTGCATCAATGGATGTGGTGGGGGCGATGGCGGCGGCTGCGGCGGCTGCGGCGGCTGCGGCGGATGTGGAACAACAAATGGCATTTGGGAAATGTAATTTTCATCCAGTGAGAACATTCCAATTCCAATTCATAAAGCATTCAGCCCCAAAGATGGCAGGGGAAGACCATGAAAAACAATCAAATAAATGCACCAAGAATGTGCAAGAAATGCAATGCAAATTGAAATACCAATGAAAATTTGCAATGGATACAGCATCAAACACTTCCCCTTTGGATGGACAAAAGAGCTCAAGCTCTAAATACTCCTTCAATCAGCCAACAAGGAATGCATTTAACATTTGGATTCTTGGGGAAAAGGAAACATTCCATCGAGGAAACATTCCTTCGATGTTTCTCCAAGGGTGCGCTTTCATTTCCCCAACATTGAGAAGCAGAAGAGCACTCGAGTGGAAGGAAGCGAAACTCAAGCGACAACAAAAAGAGTCACTCAATTTTAATACTTCTCCTCACTATTGTTAATGTTAATATTTTTGTTTTTATTCTGTTTCACGTCCAGTGAAAGAATTGGCTCTACTGTCAAGTCTCAGAAGCAACAAAAGAGAAAAGCTGTCTGAAGAATTTTCGCGTGCAATTTCCCAGAACTCACTTTATTATTATTGCCCCAATGGGCTTTTGGGGGGCTTTTGGGGCAGCAAAATAAAATGCCAGAATTAATTAAAATTCATAATTAGTTGCATTTTTGCCCCACGACTCGACTGCGGTGCGGTGCGGTGCGGTGAGAGGGCAATGAGGTCACGAAAAGAGCTAATCCTTACAGCCTCCGGGCGGTGGATCATAGTGCGCGCACAGTGGGAACAAAAGCATCGAAAGAGCGTGTCCTTTCGCTTATGGGAAACTTTGAACAGCGATTGCTTTCGCCACTCGCATCATTCGACGATCGACATCGATGTACTGCTCTGGCATCACACGTGGCACCCTTTCACCTATGGGAAATTGGTGGGGTGACAGCAACGTCAGTCCGAAAGTGCTCCGTGGAAAAGGATATTTCATTTAAGCAAATCGTGAAGCCATCTCTGCATCAAGCAGTTCTATTCCATGCCATTGGAAGAAATTCTTTGGATTTTCATTGCATTTCTCTCGTCTCAGGCCACTGTGCTCTTTTCACGTCAATTCTCATTTCGCAGTTTATTTGTTTTGCAAAAACTTGGTTCCTGGGCTGCGTTCTGGTGGGTCCTGGTAGCAAGGATTAAGCCTGCTAGGCCTGTAATGAGTTGGCTCCAGCGTGTCGCCATTTAACCGCAGCTGCTCCTTCTCCCCCCGTCTGCGGGCACACACTTGTTGAACTTTGTGCTGTCTGAGCTCCGAGGATGGGGGATGGGGGGTGGCAGCCACTCTCGATCCTTATCCTTATCCCCAGCATCCAAGTGGAAAATCAATCCAAAACTCACTTGATACGTGGACACGTGGGTGCTTCCTCGGTGGATGCTTGGGTATCGAGGGTTTTCGGTGCTAGGGGTGTGGAATGACACTTAACCTTTCTCTTTTCGGCATTGACATTGAGAGTTTCCGTCGCCGATGCCGACGCCTTCTCTTTGTCAACAGTGCTCGACATCTGGCCCCAGCAGGCGGCCGCACATGCTTCTGCATACACCGGGCACCATTCGATGTGTGCTTTCCGAGTATACACTGCCCCAAATGGGGAGGAACAGAGCCATATTGGTATTTTCTCAAGATCCTTCCTGATCGTTAGGTCACGCTTTCAATTTCCCATAAGCGATAGGAAACATTCGATTTAACTATTTAGATTTGTCAATCTTGAGTTTAGGGAACTTATTTCCTAAGTTTCTCAAGTTGGAATCCATTCGATTGCAATCGAAATTGTCGCCATTCTTAGCCAAAAATGTTCTCTACTCCAATAGTTATTCCAGCTCCAAGGAAATCTATGCACAAGAGTGTTCCATGCCTCGACCTTGCCCTTGCTTTCTGGCCTTCTGCCACACCCACACACACATTCTGTTGGTGCCACGCTGCCACACTCTGGTGCTCTGAGGTGTGTCTGTGTGGGGCAGAGTGTGGCAGAATGACTAAAAATAGTTGCATTTGTTATCCTTTGTTTGGGGACTTGGGCTTTCAGAGTGCAGAGTGCAGGGCGTCGAAACCGCAGATTGGGTCAACAAAAAGGTGCAACGAAATTTGATTAGTCCCTGCGGCCTTGGTGGGGGGGGAGGGGTTTGTCTTGGGCTTGTCTCCAATTAAAAAACGCCACGCCTCAAGTCACTGATTGTTGATTCCAAGAAATCAATCCAAGAAGTAAATTTCCCGAATTTCCCGCTTCTTTTCTTTTAATTAAAGGCAAACATTTTGTCGCAAGGGAACGAGAGAGAGAGCCACAAGATAATACGAGTGTGGCCAAAATAACTAACCAAAAAGCATTCTCTTCCACGTCTACTACTCCTCCACGCCGTGGCCCCTTCGTACCCCTTGCAACAATACCAAGAAACGGCGGAACGTGGCTTGAACAATTCAAGGATTTATACGCAATTTGCATGCAAATCAAGTTGGTTACGACCCCAAAGTGGGGGCCAGGATTAAGGCACTTTGACTGGGATTTATTGTCCAGCAAGAACGGAGGCTACACACACGGGGCGTAAACTCCAGTTGTAGTCGGACTCTTGGTAAATCAACGGCAAATTAAAGGACAAATGCAGCAGACCAATCCGAATGGGAAACACCCTCAAATGGCAAGCAGAATTATTGGATTAAGAAGCGCACATTAGCAGGAAACCGGAGGTCCTTACGCGCGGATCTCAGGGAGAAACAAAGCACCGACGGATGGGTGCTGCCGCATAACGCTCATAAATACTAAAAATAATAATGGAGCTCCAATAAACATTAATTCGATTTGAATGATATAGTCTTAATTTTCTAAAATTTACAAATGTTTTTATTATTAAAGTTGTTGCCATATATAATATGTTATATTATAAGTTCTCTCAGAGTTCTCTCGGCTATCGTTGGGACTTCAAACCAAACTTATGGTTTAAGGCGGTGTTTATTTTTCACATTTTTAATAACATTTTTCGTTAGTCTCTGGCAAACTCTTGCCCCATTAATACCAACAAATCTTCATCAATTTATTATCATTCCCCGGGAGGATACCCGGATGCCCCCCAGGCACTCAGGCCACCCACCCAACTAAAGGATGGAAACGAAAGGCGACTCAAGCCGGAACGGAACCCAGACCCAAAATATAGCAGCCAAATGGACATTAATTATGAGCAAGGAAATGAAAAGATAAATGAATGACCAACCGAGCCCAAGAGCACAGTCGCTCTTGGTCCTCCGCAACGCTCGGCTACCCAATTCAGTCAGTAATCAGCTGGTACATGGGCCGTCCCGGGGGATTATGTAAAAATATACATGCATATGCGAACATGTCCTTACCTTGGGTGAAAAATAATAGATTGAACGATGACAACGTTAGCACGGAGCTGGACGTGGACGACATGCTTCCATATTACGCTTTACATAAGCGTTGGTGTTCCCGTTACCGTGCCGTTCCCTTTGCCGTTGCCGTTGCCGTTGCCGTTACCGTTGTTGCGTTGTCCGCTCTTCGTTTGCCTTTACTTTACCGTTGCACGCACCAGTCTGCCGTCTGCCTTCTGCCTTCTACCGTCTGATGCCGCCGCTCCGCCACTCTGCAGGACTCGCTCTCTCTGACAAAGCCGGCTTACCAACAACAACAGTAATAAACAAAAAAAAAAAGAGAGAAACGACAAAACAGAGCTCAACAAAAACAAAAGAACGTAACGGAAAAGACAACAACTGAAAATGAACGGCGACGCCGCCGCCAAAGGCAGTTTGTGCTCTCCTTCTCCTCCAACACCTCCTTCGCTCCTTGGTCTTCTTCTTTTACAGTTGCTTGTCCTGGGTACCCAGGCGGTCGGTTTGTTGTTGCCGCTCCGACTCCTTTTGACGTAACTCCTCCGCAATGTAGCTCCTCACCAACTCTCCTTCTCTCTCTCTCCGACACTCTTTTGGATGATTTCTGCACTGAAACTATTGTTCTCCTTCTCTCTTTTTATAGCAAAAAAAACACGCACACGTTTGATTATTACTCTGCTAAACTACATTTTATTTGTTGCAAATTGAAGTGGGAGTGCGGCCTGAAGTGCGGGGGAGTGACACTCGCTGCGCGACGGGCGACTCGGCTCTATTTGTTGCAGTTTAAAGGTCACAATTTAGTGACAAAAAAATAATAAACTTGACCACAGATACGAAAATACAGTAACTGCTTCTGTCTGTTGGTGAATAGGTACGGTTAGCACGCTAGAACACGACCGTCAGCGCCGAAGTTTGTTTGGATTTTGAGTGAACTATTGAAGGAATGACTGCTTGACTGCTCGCAGATAGAACGCAAAACTGAGCATCGCGCTCGCGTTTGCCTGCCAGAGGATGGAGCTTGGGTCTCTCAGTGCTCTCCTATCGATGCTCCATGCCTGAATTTCGGCTTCCTCTTGTTTTTTTTTCGGCGAATTGAAGGCTTGCTGGTGGGTGGTTGGTTGGTGGGTGGGTTGGTAGAGCATAGAGCCTGCTCGTACCACCTCCCACACTCCCATGCGAATTCTGCTGGTTGTGCAACTCTGCGGCCACCACTGGAACTGTGCTGTGTCCAACTGCAAATTGGCGTATGGCAGGCGTATGAGAGGAGATGCACTCCACTCTCCTTAATCACATGCACACACACACACACACACACATACACACACACCCATTGAACAGCTGTCCGCCGCAACCCACGTGTGCGGAACAGAGACGACAGACGCCAGAAAACGAAAAGTTCACTGAACCCGCGCCAAATAACGGGAATAGGATTATGTGACCATTGCTGTGTTTATGCATGGCATTTATTATAGATATTGTTTGTTTTTCTTTCCAAATGCATTTGCTTTAACTTAATATTAGATTATAATTTACAATTAAAATACATGTGTACACAGTAGGAGTGCGGTAGGAGGGGCCACCTAATCGAATGGGGGTTATCCATTCGAACACGGAAACGCATCGCAAAGAAAGATAATTTCTACGTTTTGCTAAAAACTAAAACAAATTATATACCGAATGGGTAGTGGAAGATACTCGGTACGGTCCATCGTCATTTGAGTAAATTTACAATAGAATTATACTAGAACTTTGGGGTTTTCACTTGGAAATGATTCCATTCGGAAATGCAATCGTGTTTGGCAGTCGCGTGCCAGAAGGAAATGAAAACTTTCAAAAAAAAAAAAAAAAAAATTTTTTCAAATTGTGACCCTCCCCTCATGCCACTCATCATCATAATTTTCGTCTCTCTCTTTCTCCCTCTCTCTCGCTGTCTCGCTGTGCTAGCGTCGCTTTTTGACGCGTTCAATGTATTTTGTTTTGTTAAGGGCACGATTGCCGGCATTGGGATCCATCATGCGCTTCCAATCGGTCTGCCCCACCACAAAGCCAATGGCACGCATCTTGTCCTGGGCGCGCTTCTCCTCGATGTCCGCCCAGCGCACCTGGAAGGGAGAAAAAAAGTGAGTAAAGTGTCCTCGTAACAGATGGTTTGGTGTGCATTTAGGGAAACGTTTCAGAATTTCCAGCTACTTCTCTATATGCTATATTCCCATTCTACATTCGTTTAAGCGTACACATTTCGTACACATATTTAATAACGAACTTTCTATAACTTTTCCAATATAATTGTATAATATTTAAAGCTTGAAAAAAGTACTCAAAAAATGGAACCACAGATGTCAAAGATCTCTCTGCTTTAGGATCGAATTTTCTTTAGATGCCATATTTTAAAAGTCTTCTTGTCTAGTAATTTCCATTAAAATCGGATAATAAATACAGCTCCAAGAGTCCCATATAATGGAATGTACAGCGTGTCACAGACATCAAAGAATCACTTCTTATAAACAAAAACAACTTCATATAACAAAGACACAGCTAGAGAAGAGTTACCTCAAAATGGAATATCTCCACCTACTGCTGTCCTCGATTATCAAATATCTTTGTTCCTACAAAACCGATTTATATTAAACTTCAGGCATGACTTCCTATAACCATTATCTAACTATCCTTTAAGTTTGATAGTAATCGCTTAAGTAAAACATGGCAAGAAGAGAAAACAGTACAGTGCATCTACTATTTCTATCTCTTTTCTTCTAATGGTTTTCTTCTTCTTCTAGAGATCTACGTGTATCCTTCGTGTATCCTTTATCCAAAACTCACTCGCTTCTTGCCATCGACTGATGTTTTTGGTGGCTCCCAATCGTCCAGCTGCAGATATTCGGCCATGCTGGCTGTCTTGCTTTTCTTCAGGATGCGCATGGTGCCGTCCAGACGGGCTACAAGGATAATCAGGATAATTCAGTGAAGAGAACCTATAGGGGCCAGGGGTGCAGGCAGGCAAGACTTACCTAGATTATCCTCGGTGTTGTCGCTTTCCCACTTGCTTTTCAAATTGCCAAACTGCACGGAACCACACGGAACGGAACCACCGATTGATTAGAGGGAGTAGAGGAAGGGGAGAACGTGGAAAAGTTGTTGTTGTTGGTTTGGAAAAGGATCCCCCACACTGTATGTTTTTGGTTTTTTTTATTATTGTTTAAGACTTACATCGTAGCAGATATCATCGCCGTTGCTGTCATCTGTCGTTCCATCGACAGCGGCAGTGGCGGCGACGGCGACGGCAACGGCACTGGCAGCGTTTGCGGCGGCGGTGGGCACAAGATCCCCAACAAGCCCAGTGGCTGATGCCTTGGCATTGGTGGCATTCGAAGCAGTGTCCTCGCTATAGGCATTATCATCCTGAAATAAATGAAGCCGCCATAAATCAACAAAACGTTCGCTTCGTTCGTGTTTCAGCCTTTTGCAGCACATTGGCAGCCTTTACTAAAGAGCTTAATAATAGGATCGATCATTCATTAATAAGTTTTCGATTTACAGATCTACAGTGAATTGTAGATGGTGTCATGTCATGTCGCTTTCGCATTCGCTTAAGAACTTATGTGCTAGAATCTTGGCGATACAGAGCGCATATCCATATCGCAATATCGGTATATTCATAAGAATCAATCAATCAATTATATTCATTGCATTCCACATATGCCACAGAACAAAACTTATGTCTAAGAGCATCTATCTCTAAATTATAATCCCTTCTGTTCTACTGTTCTACGACAGAGGGGCAGAGTAAAAGTTAAAAATGTTTTTTTTTTCGAGTATTCATAAGTGACTAGATTGAGCGTCGACGGTGGCGGTGGCGAGAGCATCGGGGGCACTGGCCTGCAGCACCTGTAGCCTGCCGCCACGTGTGGAAAATCCTTAACAGATTGTGGTTACAGACTACAGGCGGCACAGGCCAGGGACCCACGGGCCTCCCGCCCCGTCTCAGTTTGCAGGACGAGGATCATTCTCATTCCCGCTCAACGCGAGAGAACACGATGAGCAGGAGCCTCGGATGATTCTAGGGCATAGTTACCGTTGCCATATTCTCAACATCTTCCATCTCGACCACATTCTCCAGCAGCGTGGCCACGTCCAGCTTGATGTACTGCAGCGGCGTCTCGTTCCAATTATCCAGCGCCAGCTGGATCTCCTCTGTGGTGCGCTGGTGCGCATTGCGTCCCAGACAAGTCTCCACATCGCACAGAAGGTCCACAATGTACGGCTACAAAAAGGGGATATATACAGATATACAGATAGATGGTTATTTCCCAGGACTCACCACAAAATTCGAGTCCTTTGCATGGCAGTAGAACTCGTTGAGTGTGCGCAGCGAATTGTTATTGCAATCCACAATTATAAAGTCGTACAGATTATCGCTGAGCGTCTTCTTGAACGATTTGATCAGGTATTGCATGTAGGTCTCCTCCATGGTATCATCGTACTCGTATAGCAGCTCCTTTTTGGGTATCTGTGGCGGCGGCACAAGGGAAGGAAATTAATACAAAATTCCATGCACCAGCCACCAGGCACCTTTAAATTCCATATCTCGAGCTGTCCACTCACCTTCTTCCCCGTTTTGGGGCACTTCTCCTCGTAGTCATTCTCAATGATGAAGTAATCATCGATGCTGAGTATACGCGGTGTGGCCCCGCCCATTTCCAGCTCCTTTTCCTTGATGAGGCGTGCCACATAGGACTTGCCGCTGCCCGGTGGTCCGCGTAGGATAACACAAATGCGCTTGGGACGCGTCAAGCGTCCGGGCGACAACAGAATCTCATCGATCGATATTGTATTGCGATTCTCGTTCGTGGGCACACTCATCTCCAAATGTGGGGCAGGGACATGGCCGGCGGGTACATCCTCATTGGCCTTTGCCTCCGAGGGAAACAGAGATTGCGGCGCAGAAGGAGCATCCACCGATGACGACGGCATGGGTTCTGTTTTCGGTATCAGTGGGCCCTCGCCCAGCATGCGGCGCTGCGGATTGGCGGGGAAGGCTTTCTTGAAGGATTCTCCGCCGTAAGAGAGGCTATTATTAATGTGCATCGATGGCGGCGATGGCAGGGACTCATCATCGCGCATTTCCACGAGATTACTGTAAGGATTTCAAGCACGGATTCACGTTAGATAGTGGCTCCCGTGGCTCCTGTGGGTCTGTGAAACGGGACTTACTCTTCCCCATCGGAGATATCCTCGAGATCATCGGACTGCTTCGAACTGTTCTGTCCCTGCGGTGGGACAGGTGTCTAGGAGGAAGGGGGAGGATAAACGGCGGATTAGGTATCGAATCAATGGATCAGACATGTGGGAGGGGGCTTACCCCCTGGGGTTTACCTGCTGATCGCTCTCTTCGGACGGAATCGTTTGAAGCTGACGACTCTGATGCATTTGCAGGCGCTCCTGCTGGCGCAACTGTTTCTTTCTTTTTTTGTTACGCTTGTTTAAGGCTTTTTCATTAGGTCCGGGTCCGAGTCCGGGTCCGAGTCCGGTTCCAGCTGAGGGTCCGGCTGCTCCGACTCCTATTCCTAATCCTGGTCCCATCCCCATTCCGTGCGGTGCTCCGCCGCGTCCACCTCCGCGTCCGCCTCCGCGTCCAGATCCCATCATTCTTGGTGCTAGTCCTGGCATCATTCTGCCACCCACTGGGCCATAGCCATTGCTCGAGGCGTGTCCATAGTCAAAGGTCTTCAGGGGCCGAAATTCGGGCAGCCCATCGCCAGATGATATCGAGGAGGCAGCGCCCCCCCCGCCCATTGTGGCCGACTTGTGGCCATAGTCGATGACCTTGGGGGCGGGCGTCTTGTTCTGGTAGTCGAACACCTTCATGGGACGGTGCACGGGTTCGTCATCGTCCTGGTCCTGATCCTGGTTTGGCTCCACCCGTGAATGTGAATGAGAATGAGAGTGGAATGGCGGCGGCCGCTGTGGCCCCAGTGCTAGTGGATGCTGCGGCGGCGGCTGCTCCGGTCTGCAACGTGGGGGCAACGTGGTGTGTTGGAAGAGGTGGGGCGTGGGGCGTGGTGGGTGAGTGGAAGAGACGCAGTGGCGTGGTCGTGGTATTGTCGGTATCAAATATCGGTATTTTTTGTTGGTATTTGTTGCAGTATTTTTAACGGTATTTTACGGTGTTTTGGTTGGCATTTATTGTTGTTTGATATTTCGATTTTTTCATGGATTTCAATTATCGATTATTATCGTTTTTTTTTTTAAATTCGATTTTTTGTTCGTTTTTGAGTTTTTTTTGTTTTCAATGTTTCAAAAACCAAAAGAAAAACACTTGAACTTTTACTTTTCTTTGAAATTTACCAAAACAAAAAAAACGTATTGAAGATGTGCGGGGGTGGGTCATGGGGTGGCCGGGTCATAGGTCAGAGGTCCTAAGCTTTGCAGAGAGAATTTCACACAGAAAAAAGCACGGACAAAGAGGAGAAACCAATGTCTCTCTCTATAAAAGATATTCGAATTCGGACCCTCAGTGGATGTTTCCCTCCCCGCCCCTCCACACCACCGACCCCTCACAGAGAATATGTGTATCGATAATTAATCGGAAAACAGTAAGACTCTTGGAGAACCTTACGAGAGGAGGAAGGAGGCAATACACCTTATATTCCATCAATCAGCGGACAGGACAAGGAATACATATTGTACATATCGGCAAAATCTTTATTTATTTCTTTATTTATTGATTTCTTTAAAACTTTCGAATTTTGAGGCATACAGTGCGTTTCAATGGTGTATGTATATACGGGAGGGACATCATATGGCTTATACATTATAGAGTTTTACAGTAGTTTACAGCTTATCGACGTTTTTGTTGGTCGGTTAGTCATCGAATATTGAGCTAACTATCGATAGCTACCGATAAAACAATTTTTGCATTTTAGATATAGAGACAGATAGACTGAGATTGGGAGAGACGAGCTATCGACAATAAAATCCATATCAATTATCGAATTTATTAAATTTATCGAACGGTTACCGAAACGTTCTGTGTGTGTTCTGTTTTGTATCGCATCCAATAAAAAACGCATAAATACCGTATATATTGTGAATATTGTAAATCTTTAAGCTATCGATCGAACACATTGTTCGAATATCTTAATTATTAATCATCCATCTATCGTTCATCGTTCATATATCGTCTATCGTTAATCAAAAAAAAATGAATATCGGTCTGGCAATAATAGTATATGGCGTGGGGTTCAAGGGCTATCTATATTTATGGTTTCTTATTTTCAGTTCATCTGATCTTTCATTTAGAAGAGTTCTGGATCCTTTAATTCTTTGCCCTAGCGACTATCAAACGCACTGTACACCCCACTGTACACCTCTCTGTTTTGTAATTTTAATTTGTAAACAGCAGACCGACCCCAGACGACACTGGACACTGGTACTTTTGCTATTGATGTAAAGGATACCAAAGAATAGAAAAGACTGGGGTGTCAGCTTTATATGATATATACATTGATAGATAGATAGAATAAACGGACTGACAGACTGAATCGACACGGACAGTTTTCTCTGTTGTTATTCTGGGTTTAATTCCAACCTTAATCTCCAACATTGATTTAGTTTGATGTTCTTTTATTGGTATATATATTAAATATATCATTTACGACTTGTACAACTTTTAACTTTCAAAAACTTCGATTCAGAGACAGAGATAGAGTGAAGAGAGAGTGAGAGAGAGAGAGAGAGTCAGAGTTTGAAGAGAAGGCAAAACGTTTCGAGGAAACGAAACAAAAATACGAAAAAAGGTAGGTTAGGTATTTATCAAAGCGGAATTGTTACAAAGAAAATACAATTGTTTTATAAACCAATTCATTTTGGATGTTAATTGTTTTTGTTGTTTTTTTCAAACTCTTTTTGGGACCAATTAAGGATATGCTAGAGGTCTAGATCTCTGTTTCTGTTTCTGTTCTGTTGTGTTTTTGTTTTCTTGGAGGATGTGTACTTGGTGTGTGTGTGTGCTTATTTGCTGAATTAATCTACTATATAGCTCTATATAGTGCTATGTGTGTGTTTTCGATTTTTCGATCTTCATATGGTCTGCAGAAGTAGAAGAGGAAGCTGAGTCTGAGGCTGGGACTGAGAGGCTGGGGGTTCAGAGGGCCTGATCCTCCATCCCCACTGCCGCTTCTTCACTGCTTCCTTCTCTAATACTCTCTCTCCTACTCCTAGATCCTGCGCTGCTTCTGCTGCTGCTGGACGTTTCTATTGGTCCTGTTTTTGAATTTTGCTTGGACTTGACCGCTGCTCAGACCACGCGGACACCACAAGACACCATTCATTCATCGTTTGGGACCGCATGGGATCGTATGGAATCGCATGGATGTCAGGATGCATCGATCGATTCACCCACCAACCCAACAATCAATACCATATTTCATTATTTTTTCGTTTTTTTTTTGTTTTGTTTTTTTTTTGGTATTTTTAACAAAAGTTTTGTGTGGTATTTTTTTTTTGTTTCGTTTCGTATTTCGGATTTTTTTTTCAGTTGCATAGAAGTAGAAGAGAAGAAGAGAAAACGGGTATGGAATAAAAATTCCAGCATTAACGATAACTAGAAAAAAACACATCGCCTGCACATAATCTACATTAAAGGATTTTTGAGGGGACAGAGAGAGAGAGAGCACAAACAGACAGAGAGAGAGAGAGAGAGAGACAGATAAAGAGAGCGACAGGGAGGGGAGTGGTGGTGGTGGAAGGGGAGGATTGAGGAAGGTCAAACGACGACAAAATCGACGGGGACTCGATGGGAAGGAAGATCATAAAAACGCCTGGTAACGACCCGGAATTTATTCGGGAATAAAATGGTATTTAAGAGTGGTATTTATCTGGTGTTTTTCCGGAATAAGCTAGTATTTAAGTTTGTTATTTTTGTAATATTATTTCGTAAATAGTAGTCTGAGTGGTATTTAAGTGTGGTATTTATCTGGTATTTTTCAGGAATAAACTAATATTTAAGTCAAGTATTTTTCGAAATTAGCTAATAGTTAAGTGTGGTATTGTCTGGTATTTTTTCGGAACAAACTAGTATTTTATGATCGGACAAATATGAGATTAGATCTTGTCTAAATTTCAGTATTAAACTTAAAGAAAAAAAGACATTTCCCCAAAAAGGGGAATGCAGCAGCGCCCTTCGTTCGAGATTCGCGTCATAAGTAGCTTTTGCTGAAGGCAATCGTATCTTTGTAAAGATTAAGTACATGAGAAAATCTCACTCTGTCTTTCATTTCACGTAATACCATAATTATTCCCAGCTATTCAATATTCCCAGCTATTTTATCCCTCAAGAGTCAAGTCCAAAAGTGGAAGCAAGTATTCCCAACACCTAATCGTAATTCAAAGGATTTCTTATAGATTTAAATGGCAGGTGGATGCAACAAGAGATTCCTTTAACGATTCATCAGAGAAAGATTCAGCGAACAGACAAGACGCTCGGTCTGTCGGGGAAGCAGAGGGATATGATAGCCCTTCTTGAAGGGTATTTTTTAATTTTAGCATTTTGATTCTTTGCGCACAAGAGATCAAAGTATTCTGATGTTTGATTTTGCGTTAAGAGAAGAGTTATTCATAAAATGTTAAGAGTTCTAGAGTGTTCTGTTTTTGTACACATACCCGTCATCCCATGGTTTCCGGTTTCCAAAGTTCATCATGTTTCCGCCTAGGCCTCCACTGCCTGGTCCTGGTCCTGGTCCAAAGTTTCGACGATTGCGCGGAGGACCTCCGCCCAGGTCCTCGTCAAAATTGGGCATCGGTGGACCGGAGTTGCGCCGGAATGGATTATCACTATTGTTGGGATTATTCGGGGGTCCTCCAGGTCCTCCACCGAAGTTGGGTCCTCCTCCAAAGTTGGGTCCAGGACCTCCAGGACCACCAGGGCCTCCACCAAAGCCAAATGGATTAAACGGTCCCGAGTCATGGCCGAGTCCAGGGCCAGGTCCACGGAACTTCGGACCAAAATTGGGTCCAGGTCCAGGTCCAGGTCCGGGTCCGGGTCCGGGTCCAGGCCCACCGCCCCCGCGATTGTGGGGCCCGAAATTGGGTCCGAAATTAGGACCAAAGTTCGGACCATTTGGTCCATTATTGGGGCCAAAATTCGGTCTAAAGTTGGGGCCATTAGGACCAAAGTTGGGTCCTCCAGGACCAAAGGGCGGATGTGGGCCACCGTTTGGACCGAAATTGCGGCCGCCATTAGGGCCAAAGTTTGGTCCAAGTCCAGGTCCAGGTCCAGGTCCAGGTCCATGTCCATGTCCGTGTCCAGGTCCGAAATTCCTGCCATTCGGCCCGAAGCCGGGGGGACCATTTCCATCGAAGTTCTTACTAAAGTCCGTGAAATTATCGCCCGGAACCTGCCCGGGTCCCATTTGATTCATTTGATTGGGACCAAAGGGCCCGGGGCCATCTCGAAAGCCAGGACCAGGACCGGAAAGAGGACCGGGACCGGGACCGGGACCATCGCCACCAAATTCACGATGCAGCCGAGAATGCTGATCATCCATGTCCATGGGTCCACGGCTACGGCTGCGTGCGTCCCCGGCATCGCCACCGCTATCGCGACTCATCATCGACTCCCTGGAGTCCTGCGAGAGCTTGTCCACATTCCCCGGCGATTGAGACTGCGAATGGGAATGGACTTTCTTCTTGCGCTGCCATTCGGCAAAGGACAAGGGCCGTCCCTTATTGCCGGCGCTTCCTGCCTCCGATGAATCGTTGGCTCCTGCTCCTGCTCCTGCACCGCCCTTCTCGCTCATCCGCTCCTGGGCCTTGGCCACTGCCTGTGTGAGATTGTTGATGAAATTGGGATCCTTGAGGGCAATGGACACATTCGTCGGCAGAGATTCGTCCGCCGTCTGCTTGGCGTCGGCCTCAGCAGCGGAGGGGACTCCTTCGTTCACGGCTGCCGGAGCAGCGCCGACGACGGCCGCCTGATCACCAGGGTTCTTGATGACCACATCGAACAGCGACGGGATCTTCTTGTTGTCATCTGCGGCACCTCCGCCGACGCCCGGCTTGACGCCGTCGTCGACCAGATCGAGACCGGGGATGCCATCGCTCTTCTTGAATATGCTTGTCATGGGCGTATCCACCAGCTCCGAGTCTGGCTCTGGCTCATCATCGTCGTCGTCATCGTCCAGTGAAATGGTGAGAATATTCTCCTCCTCTTTGGTTTGCTTCGCCGGTGTGGAGGTGGCAGCGGCACCCTCGAACCGCCGCTTGCCAAGATTAGACATTGGTCCAGGTCCAGACGAAGGCTTGCTCTTCTGCTGATGCTGCTGCTGCTGTTGCTGCTGCTGCTGTTGCTGCTGCTGATGCTCTAGGGGCTTCTTAGGCGACAACTGCTTCTGTGGAGATCCCGTCTTCAGCGCCATGGGAGGCTCCACGACATGCTCCCGGCGCATGGGCGGCGGCTGCTGCTGGGTTTCATTCTCACGACGCTGCTCGAGATTCCCGCCTGGGAATGGACCAGGTCCTCTGCCGCCGAAGCCAGGTCTACCGCCAGCTCCAGGTCCAGGACCACCGCGATTGGGACCATCAAAGGCAGGTCCAGGTCCTCGAGCTCCAAAGGGTTCTCTCTCAAAAGCAGGACCTGGTCCGTGTCCCTGTCCGTCCATTCCAGGATCACCTCTGTTTGGACCCTCAAAGGACCCACCACGGAAGCGCCCGCCACCGTCTTCCATGTCTTCGATGGGATCTTTGCTGCCCATTGGTCCGACTGGTGGACCATCTGGGCCCCCTCCTCCTCCTCCTGGACCTCCACTCTCTTGAGCCTGACGGCGACGACGCATCTGCTCGCGTCGCTCTGCAATGCGACGGCGCTGCTTCTCAAACTCCTCCTCGTAGCGACGGTACTCGTCGCGATCCGGATGATTGGCATTAGCCCGTTTCCAGTCCTCGAACTGCTGCTCCCACTGATCGAACAAACGATCGAAGCTCGCCTCATCCAGATCTGGCCCAGCAGGAGCTCCTCCTCCTGCTCCACCTCCGCCTCCACCACCTCCTCCACCTCCACGTGGATGCTGCTGCTGCTGTGGATTGTTGTTGTTGTTGCTGTTGCTGTTCCTTTGGCCAAAGTTTCCACGATTCTGGCCACCGCCATCGCTGTTGGCACCTCTCTCTTCGTTGTATCCCTGATTCTCCCAGCGTCCCGCATTGTTGTTGTTGTTGGGCGGAGGACCACGGCGGCTGTTGGCCCCATAATTGTTGCCAAAGCTCCCAGAATTATCGGGAACTCCTCCGCCATAGCTGTTGTTGTTATTAAAGTTCGATCCTCCCCCTCCTCCTCCTCCTCCGGGGCTATTGCCAAAGTTTCCCGAGTTTCCGCCAACGCCGCCGGAATTTCCAGCAATCGATCGTCCAGGTCCAGGTCCTGGTACAGGTCCAGGTGGGCCTCCGCCGCGACCACCGCTAAATCCTTCTTGATTTGAGAGAAACTCCTGGCCAGAATTCTGTGTAAAAGGATTCTGGCCGCGTTGCGCGGCAGGGCCATCTCCTCCTCCTCCCGCTTGCTGCCCAGGTCCATCGCTCCAGCCCTTGCGCTGGAAATTCGGGTTCGATTTATTTCCATGACGCTGCTCCATATCGGGATTATTCGTAGACCAACGATTCATCCGCTGATTGTTGCTGCTGCCCCCCGGCGGCTGTTGCTCCTGCTGTTTGTCCTGCATAGATGGGGGTGGTCCATCCCAGCGTCCCCGATTAGCCTCAGCCGAGGACGACGGCGGCGGTCCGCTCCAGCGATTGTTGCCATCCCCACCCTGCGGAGGCGGGGGTCCGTCCCAGCGTCTGTTTGTATCGGCGGCAGGTGGAGGCGGTCCGGAATTCCAGCGATTGTTTGCATTCCCTCCAGATGGGGGAGGTCCCTCCCACCTGGCGGGTCCTACGGGACCGGGACCTGGACCGAGACCTGGACCTGGACCTGGACCTGGACCAGGTCCGGGCCCATCTGTGGGCCCCTCCCACCGTGGTGCATTACGTTGCGGAGGCTGATGCTGTTGATGCTGTTGATGCTGCTGCTGGCTCCATTGGTTCTCCATGGCATTGGGCGGCGGCTGGCGCATCTTGGGATCAGCGCCCATAAATGCAGGCGGCGGCTGCTGCAGATTGGGAAAGGGATTCATGTTGCCCTGCATCTCGTTGGGTGGCTGACTGTAGCCCCCCATCTGTGGCTGTGTCATTTGGTTGTAATGAGACGCCGGCGGCGGTTGCTGGAGATGCTGCTGCTGCTGCTGTACCGCCGGTGGGACGTTGGGCCACATATTGGGATTTGCCTGATGCTGCTGCTGGTGCTGCGGCTGCTGCATGTAGCCTCCGGGATTGGCATTCTTCTGCGGTGGCGGCGGCGGTGGTTGGCTGTACATCTGCGGCTGGGCCATAATCTTGCCCGGCATTCCAGCTACCGCAGGATTGGGGGGCACTTGAACGGGCACTGGAGCCACCGCCGGCGGAGCCTGGTAGTATGCCTGTTGTGCCGGGGGATAGCCCTGCACTCCCGGCTGTACTGCCACAGCGGTGGGCATCACGACAGCTGCTGCTGCTGCTACGGGCGCTGGTGCGACAGCGACGGCAGTTACGGCCGTGGGATTTGCACCACCAGCTGCTGCGGCAGCCATCTCCCGTTTGTACTGTAAGAACACAAGCAAACGAAACGAATTAAAAGGGGAATCCTCCACAAGGGGGGCAGTAGTAGGTCACACACCTGCTCGCCGTATTGGGCATGCCACTTGGCGTACTCCTGCTGGTAGGTCTGCCACTGATGCCAGTGGTGCTGCAGCGCATACTGCTGCTCGGGGGTCATGGCCGCGTACTGTGCAGCCGTGTACTGTTCATAGGGGTTGGTGGCCGTTTGGCCAGCTGTGCTGTAGGGGTTGCCTCCAAGTGCCGCAGGCATGGTGACTGGTTCAGCGGCGGCGCCAACTGCGACGCCGGCGGGCACCACCGAGGCGACTGTGGATGGCTGCTCGGCGGGCGGCGGCGGTGGCGGTGCGTCGGGCAGAGGTGGCGGTACCGAGGGCTGGGGTGGTGCAGCCATTGGCACGGCGCCTGGCACCAAAGCCGCTACTGCAGGCCATTGGTTCCACATTCTCACTCCTCTTTTTTTCACTCTTTAGGTCGCAAGAAAATGGATTTTTTGGCATTATGTTATTGTCTACTGATTGTACATGTGCTCCAAATACATTTTAGTCATCACTTAACTTACCCTAATGTGTATTTTATGTAATTTGCAAAAAAACTAATTTCCGAACTGAAGAAAAAGTAAAAATTCCACACACTTCGCCATTTTTGGCTTGAAAATTAGAGATGTGGAACGGGGAGTTCGATTGCCGCAATACGCATACGATAGCAATAAGAGATATCGATAGTGATATTGGCTATCGGGTTAGAACATAAAAAATGATTTAGGATCTTATATCGATAGCCGCTCGACCATCCGACTAGCCGCTAAACCATCGAGTCCTATACGTGTTGCTATACTTAACAATAACAATACTTAACATTTAATATGATATTATTTTCCAAATTATCGTTAAATTGTATAATTTGTAATATTCAATGCACAAAGAAATCTATCGCATGGCAGCGATACTTATGGCCATCACTATCGATAGCAGAGCGCGACACGTGCTGTTTTCCTTTTATTTATATTTTATATGTGAAGACAAATCGCAATTAAAATGAGCGAAACAAATGGAAAGATCAAATATATGGTAGCGGATACCACAGCATTCATCAATGCAGTTCCCCTGAATGTAAGTCGACTGCGAGATCAATCAATAACGCTTTAACCAATTATTAAATCCGTTCGTTACCAGGAATACGCCGAGAGTGTTCTTACTGTGCCCGATGTGGTGGCCGAGGTGCGCAATAAACGCCAGATACGTCGCCTCTGTGTGCTGCCGTTTGGCCTGGAGGTGCGTGAACCGCGACCCGAAAGCGTCAAGCACTGTGTGGAGTTCGCCAAGAAGACGGGCGACTATGCCAGCCTCTCTGGCATCGATCTGAAGGTTATCGCGCTCTCGTACGAACTGGAGAGCGACAATGTGGGCACAGAGCATCTGCGCAAAGAGCCAGTGATGGCCCAGACCATTGCCTCCAAGGAGGAGCCCAAGGAAATGCAGGAGGCCAACAATAAGCGTCTTGTGGGCTGGTACATGCCCGAAGGCGAAGAAGGGGAAGGCGAAGAAGGGGAAGGCGATGAGGACGACGATGATGAAGATGTTGAGGATGTGGATGAGGATGTAGATAAGGACAAGTCTGTAGATAACGTAAAAGCTGCCATTGAGGCTCAGATCAACGGACTGGCGCTGCCCACCGAAAATCCCCCCGAGACAAAGGATGATGACATCTCCGAGGAGGACCTGAAGAAGCTGCTGGAGCAATTGAGCTGTGATTCCGACGCCCCGGAGTACGATCTCCTTGTGGCCCAGGCCCATACAGAAGAGGATGAAACGGAGCAAGAACCGGAACAGCAATCCTCCAACAGCAATCAGGACGATGACGTCGGCGACGACGGCTGGATCACCCACTCGAACATCAGGAGCGCCAAGAAGGCACTCGAGGGCAAGGTGGAGTCCGATGCGGTGCCCTTGGTGGCCTGCATGACCACAGATTATGCCATTCAGAATGTGCTCAAGCAAATGAATCTGAACTTGGCCGCCCTCAATGGGCGCATCATCAAGCAGCTGCGCACGTATATCCTCCGCTGCTACGCCTGCTTCAAGACCACCAGCATCATGACCAAAGTCTTCTGTCCGAACTGCGGCAACAAGACGCTCAAGCGCGTCGCCGTCAGCCTGGATGAGAACGGGAAGCAGGTGATCCACATCAATACGCGTCGCCCCCTGACGTCCAAGTACAAGAACCAGAGCCTGCCCAAATTCCAAGGCGGCAAGCATTCGCGGAATCCCATTCTATTCGAGGACCAGCCCATGCCGCGCCAAATGCCATCGCGCGTGGCCAAAACGAAGACCAATGCCATGGACGAGGACTACATAGCGGGCTACTCGCCATTCGTCCTCCGCGACGTCGACTCCAAGTCGGCCATGCTCCGCTCCAAGGGCAATCTGAAGGAGTGGGCGCGAAACAACAACTTTGAGGAAGATCGTCGTCGCAAGCACTACAATCGTCTCTACAAATAGGGGGGGATCAGGGTCGGGGTGTCAGGGAGGGGTCCATAGCATAAGCTTTCCATTAATCCGTGTAATCTGTGTTTATTTCGAGATTAAACGCGTCCTACAAACACACACACACTTACAGCCTGACAACCAGCTTGGAGCCGTAGTCTGGCAGATTGAGCTGGTATTTACGCTGAAGGGCGGGCGGCACAAAGCGTCCGCCCAGGTAGTGATGCTCTCCTTTGAAGTGCTCTGCACAGAGCTTGGGGGCCGTCAAGGAGATGAGCAGCTTCGGTTCAAAGTCGCACTCGCTCTGCTTGCCCTTCTCCACATCCCAGCCGCTGGGTATGTCCACACTGCGACAAACAAAGAGACCCATTACAGATCTCCAAAGAAGCTGCTGCTGCATTCTCACCTGGCTATTGGCACCTTTGTTTCCTGCATCATCTTTACCAGGGGCACAAAATCTTCGCGTACCGGCGGCTTGAAGCCAAAGCCAAATAGAGCATCCAAGATCAGGTCATAGTCCTCCTCGGCATCTGACAAAGAGGGGCACTTTTTAACGCTAGGTATCTCCATGTGGTGGCACTGATTGGTCAGATTCTCGTACAGCGACATCAGTGTGGGTTTTGGATAGTAAACGGTGGGCTGGTAGCCCATCAACGACAGATGCCGGGCACAGACCAGACCATCGCCACCATTGTTTCCCGGGCCACAGACGACCAACACTCGCGGATGGGTCTGGGCGGGAAAGCACTCGGCCACGGCATCGGCACAGCTTAATCCGGCCAGTTCCATTAGCTGACCCACATGGAACATCTCGAATAGATCGAGGTCCAGTTCGATGGCCTCGCTTTGACTCAGATACTTGACCATATTTTTGCAAGATTGCAAGCTGAAATGACGTTTTAATTGTTGGTTTTGTCTTTGCTGTTGCTTTTCGATTATTGCAAAATGCGAGAATGGCAACCGGCTTTGCGTGTTTTTTGTACGCCAAAGCAGTTGACAATTCCTTGAGATGCATCCATTCCACCGGAGACATTGCCAGCTAGGCAAGCGCATATTTCCTCACTTAATTTAGTACTTAAATAATTGAAAAATTACAAACAAAATATTAACTAAAATAAAATTACATCGCTATGCAGCTGGAACAAAGACAAGTCTATCGATAGCCTCAAGCGATAGTTGAACGAACAACCGATGACCCGCTATTTGAATCAAATTTCAAACGTTAAACACTTTATTTGTTCTTATATCAGGTACACGCTAAAATACAACAAAATATGTTCTTTCAGATGGCTTCGCGGGCCCGACCATCACTACCACGACCCCCGCAGGTCAGCTCCTGCTCCCTGTGGCCGCTGTGACGTTGCTGGTGGATTTCCAGGGTCTGGCGCGTGATGCACGGCTTGTTGCATTGCGCACAGGCGTAGGGCCAAAGGGTTTTGTCATGGCTGCGCATGTGGGAGGCAAGCCGCTCCCCGTCGGAAAAGCACTTGGAACACACATCGCAACGGGAGGGTCGTTGCTGCTGGTCGCTGGCGTGCAGGCGCTCGTGCCTTACCTGGGAGGCATGCGTCCCAAAACGTTTCTCGCAATGGACGCACTGGAAGCGCCGCTGGCCCTCATGCACCACCCGCACATGACGACTGATAGCGCTCTTGTGGCGGAACAGCTGCGGACACTGCTGGCACTTGAATTTCTCCCAACTGGGGTTGTGTATGCGCAGATGGGTGAGCAGCTCCGTCCGCGTCACCTTGGCCACGCCACAGTGCTCGCAGACGTGCTCCTTGCGCTGGGCGTGCCGCTTCAAGTGCTCGCCCAGTGCATTCTTGGTGCTATACTGGCGGTTGCAGTGCTCGCAGATCAGATGCTGCGCCTCCTCCAGCTGCTGCTGGGCAGACCCGCTGCCGCTGCCTCCGCCGCTCCCCTGGGACGACGGATGGGAGTTGCGCATGTGCGAACGGAGCTGCTCATAGCGCGTGAAGGACTTGTCACAGTTGCGGCAGAGGAATGGCTTGGCATGACCTTGGTGCACGCTGCGGATGTGGGCCTCCAGGTAGGGCAGCTTGTAGACCTGCTTTCCGCACTGGTCGCAAGCCAGGGACCCCCCTCCTCTCTTGCTGGACGATACTGAAATCGAGGCGGTGTCGGTTGCCTGTTCGGCTGCATCTGCCGACTCTTGCTGAGTCAGCTCAAGCTCCTCCTCCTCCTCGCTGTCTCGGGGCTCGTCTTTTATCGAAACATCGCTGGGCAGCAGCTGAGGAGAGACGCTAAGAGAGCATTAGGCAAACGAATGTTGGCATAAACAAGTGTCGTATATCAACCAGCTGTGTTTCTAGGTGCGGCGGCTGTGCCTCCCCCCCGGCTCCTGCTGCGACGGAATTTTTGGCCTGCGCTTCGAAGAGTGGAGTCAGCTTTTCATTCGATTCTTGCGCGACCTTGCACAGTTCTTCGAAATACTCAATGGCGTTGTAGCAGAGGGCGCATATCTGCTTGGGAAAGCCTTGAGGCTGCTCCAGCACATCGATGCCGAAAAACTTCTTTAGCATGTGCACCGAACGCGAGTGGAGATTGTCCAAACTGTGGTCGGAGCAGTGGTCCTTGAGCTCGCGCAGTTGCCGCAGGCAGATGCGACATTGTCGGGCTATATTCGCGATGGTAAACATTACTCAGACGCGGCCAGTTTTAAACCGAAAAACCCGAAAGATGAATAAAAACCGTTCGCGTCGTTGTTGCTGGCGCTGGTGCTGCAGCGATCTATAGATTAGCGGGCGGAACGCCCGAAAGGAGTTATCAGCAGACAAATTTTAGCTATTCGTTCTTCTTTTCCTCCGCGGAACAGTGTTGCCATTTTAGCCTATTAACGACTAGATCTAGCTTATTTGAAAACGGATATGCTTGAAAAATTATGAAAATGCTTATAGCTCTAAATCTAGCCTTTTCAGATTTCACTTTGCTTATGTTTTCCTTTTTATAACCTACATTTATTTTTAGATATTTTTTAAGGAAAATCTAACGAAAAGTAACTTGTACGTATTTTGGTGTATCATGGTATTTTATACTTCATTTAAGGAGTGGCTGCGCAAGGTACCTGCGGATCAGTAAAGACCTACTGCTGCTTTTGCAAATGCACGTTTACTTCAAAACTTTTTTACAAACGTCAACATGTAGGAACAAAGAATTGAAGGCATTGGCCAAAAGAATCAAATTAGATTTATAAAAAATCTATAAAACGGATGCACATGAGTCGCTTATGTGTGTGCAACAGTTCATAATCGTTCCAGCGAAAAGAATACCGATTCGAATAGCGAATTGGATGAAATAATAACACAATTAGAAATGTAAATATTTATGTGTTGTTTTATTTTTAGCCTATTTTCTAAAATTTTTAGCTTGCTCAAAATCTGGCAGCACTGTCGCGGAATCAAACAATATATTGTTCGCGAACGACGTCCAGCGCTGGCGAAACATCGATAGTAAAATATCGATACAACTCTTAGCGATGAGCGGTGACTTCTGTGACATGATCACTGGGCAACAGTTTAATTAGTTACTGTCATTAGAAAAAAAAATGTATATTCCAATTGAAATGCACTTTTTTTTTAGCTACATTATAGAAGTATTGATATATGTGGCAGCAGGAAGCACTTCTGACTCCATAAGGCATAAATATTCTTGATCAGCATAAATATCATATAGTCTCAGATATTCTCAGAGCTAGAGCAACCAAATAAGGAGCAGACCGGATTACCCACAATTTTATTCCCGCTCGCATTCATTGTGCTCCCTAAACCCTAAGCTAACTGAGTATCGGGTAATTTTGTTCTGCTAAATTTATACTGTGACTGTGACTTTTCCCTGTGAAGTGAGGCATCAATAATCGATATTTCGTACCCTTCACATCGGTTTTCCTGCCATCACTCATTTCTCTATCGGAATCGGAGCTGACAACTGTGATTTTTTGTGTGATCGTTTGAAGAATTTCCCGAATAGTTTTTGGTTAATTTGTTAATAGCTTTTAAAGTAAATTGAGCACGATGTCGCTAAACCCCCAGTACGAAGATATTGGCAAGGGCTTCGTCCAGCAGTACTATGCCCTGTTCGACGACCCGGCAAACCGTGCAAGCGTGGTCAATTTCTACAGCGTAAGTTTTTCTGTGTCTTTCCTGGCCTGAAATGGACGCTTTAGTTTGTGAAACTTTGCGGGGGTGTCGCTGCGGCAGCGGTAGCAACAATTGTATAGGTGTTCTCGGCTGCAGCTGCGCCTCCTCTTGGCGCACAGGTGACGTGCGTTGCGCCCTTGAAAAAGTCCACCTTCTCTCGTGCAGCCTCATCCGATGCGGATATAAAAAAGGGCGCGCAAATGAAGAAAATCATATATGAGAAGCCTGGGTTGATTCAACGGAAAAGCTTGAGGTGGCTTGAGCGTCTTCTCGAATCTTCCCATCGGTCCGGGTACACACATACACCCAATAAACGCGCGCCTGTACGTATATACAAAAATCTTCATATATATATGCTGCGAGGCCTGTGTGTGTGTGTGTGAGTACATATGTACGATGTGCGATTTTTCATGAAACAATTATCTTTCAAGGCAACAGAATCCTTTATGACCTTCGAGGGCCATCAGATACAGGGAGCTCCTAAAATATTAGAAAAGGTTCAGGTAAGTGTCCATATATGTTCTGTATACATATCTTTAAGAAGTTATTCAAACGTAGCCTCCCATTGTTCCACAGAGCCTGAGTTTTCAAAAGATTACAAGAGTGATAACTGCTGTCGACTCGCAGCCCACCTTCGATGGAGGAGTGCTCATTAATGTCCTGGGACGACTGCAGGTAAGCTCTGAGGGTTCACAACACCCCGCAAAAAGGGGAAGCCAATCGAAAGAAGTCTCGGTGCAATTTCGAAAATATACGAAAATGTACCGCTACGGCTTCGTCCGACTTTGCACGCGCTGCTCGATCAGGGACGCGTTTAGATTGCTTCGATCGCAATGCCTCCCGACATACACAAAAATATATATACATACACATGTACATATATATATCGTATATTTCAAATTTAAAAAAAACTCAATTAATGGAACAACAACAACAAAACAACAGACCGACGAGGACCAGCCGCATGCCTACATACAGACCTTTGTGCTGAAGCCCGTCGGCGGTAGTTTCTTTGTGCAGCACGATATCTTTCGGCTATCGCTGCACGATGTGTAGCCCCCCCGGCAGTCGTCCTCCTCTTCCCACCACCACCACCAACAAGAGAGCAATCGGGCACGAGGCAGGCCAAGTAAAAAGAGAAGCGACACTTTTGTTGAGTTTACTGCTAAGAAATCCAAGAATACCTCAACTTCAACCTCAACCCAGAAACCCAACTAAGACACAAAGCCCGTCTGTGTATCCGTCTCCGTATCTCCGTCTTTTGGTATCCGAATCTAACTCGAACGTAAATCCGTAACGTAACGAAAGTACATTCTAAGCGTTAAATCTGCTGTTTGTCATATTGCTGTTGCTGTTACTGTTTTCGCGTTATCATCTCCTTCCTTCTCCCTCTTTCTGGTCTTCTAATTTTCAAAAACCAAATTACAATCTCGTGATTCATTAATCCCCATAATTTACATGTTTCACATTTCATTTTGAGCATGTTTTTCTTTTTTGAGTTGGATCTTAACATTGAAAAACTCCCGGTACTCGACGAGTGAGTGGGCAAAAAGGGTTTACTCTCTTTCTCTCTCTCTCTCTCTCTTTCTATGTCCGTCTGAATCTCGAACATTTTAGAAGTTTTAACAAGAGAATATGTATGTATCTATAAATAATATAAATACAAAAAAAAACTTTTTAACCAAGTAAAAAATCTCGTGAGTAGCGGGTATATCTGATGTCCGGAATATCACTCCGGCCGTATCGTTTTTCCTCACTTTTCCGCTAGAACTTTGTTTTTTTCGCTTTTCAATTTATTTTTGCACGCCTTTTAATCGAAATTCGGTAAAACAATTGATGGAAGATTAATAATTATTGGATTTCTACCTTTTGCAGTGCGACGACGATCCCCCGCATGCCTTCTCGCAGGTCTTTATGCTGAAGGCCAATGCAAACTCGTTCTTTGTGGCCCACGACATTTTCCGTCTAAATATACACAATACTGCATAAGTAATATCCATAAAAACACATAACCACACCCAAAGATGCGGCGCAGAACAAAACGGAAAAGCTCAATAAAAAAATCAGACAATTCGTCAAAAAAAAAATTATTGGAACAGCTCAGCAACACTACAACATAGAAAGCCAGTAACAGCTTTGAAATATCAACAAAAACTCAACAACAGCAATATAATGTAAAGAGAAAATCAACCGCAGCTTCATCAAAAGCATCGCATGGCTGTTTGTTGCATGGCTTTCTTTGTTGTGTTGTTGTTATGCTCTCTAGAAACAACTCAGCAACCGTGGAACAGCAACACATCAATGTCCACAATTCAACAACAACCACAACAACAGCAGCAGCTCAACAACAACAACAACAACGGCTAGCTCAATCCATGGCTAGGGTAGGAGGTCCATGCCTATGGCCAGACGCATACGCAGTGCCGCAGCAAGTTCTCACGTTTATCAGGAATGAACAAAACAGAATGAAAAAAGAAATTAAATTCTAATTACTATTACTATTACTATGTAAACGAAATGAGCGAATGCCGCGCTCCGATCCCCTATACATATTTTTTTCGGACCATTTTCCATGTCAATGACTAATTTAAAAAGCGGACGATTTACTTTTTATTGAGACTAAATCTCACACAAAACAGACAAATTATTACACTTACATTTAAGCGAGTTTAGGGGACAAGGACGATCATATTGACGAGAGTAAGAGAGTGACTAACGTGTATGCAAAATGTACGAGCAATCTTAGAATGTGTGTAAAGCAATAGCAATTGTAAAAATCTGATGCGTCTGATGCGTTCGATCACAGAGAGAATGGATGCATGCGAGCTGCTAGAGTAGCTAGCAGCGTCTCCCATCACTCTCTGGGAATCTATCGCATCTAACAGACGCATGGAATCGCTGAAGACGATCTGAACGTATGCAAATGTAATCTAAGATGCGTTTCTGTGGCGAAGGCAACGCAATCGAAAATTATTGTAACAATCATAGATGCATCCAATCGTTTCCAATTGTGTTTTAAAATCTAAGAATGCACCCGAGGGAAAGCGCTAGAGTGGCTATAACCTCTGCAGTTGTATTAATCTAAGGCATCACCACCATCACACACAGCACAGCACGTTGGGTAGGTTCGGTAGGGGAGAACTTGGGGGAGCTCGCTAGTAAGTTGTAAGCTATTCAGTTGTATGTGTGGTTAGTGTTATTCTAAAGAGCGAATGTTTGAGTAAAAAATATATAAATAAATGAAATTAAATGAACTCTAAATCTGAAACTGAATCTGCGACTTATGGACTATTAAATGCGTATGAAAGAAGCAATAAAAAAACACAAAATAAAGGTTGTGTGAGGCCCGTTCACTTGTCCCGAAAGGTGAAGATGGCATCGAATCCAAAGAGCACGCCATTGACGATAGACAGTGAGGCCTTGATCAGCGCCAGGTCGCGTGTCCGTGTCCTGAAAGAGAACTCCCAAGCCTCGATGATGAACACACCGCTTGCCACGAATAGGGCGCAGCCCATGACGCTGAAGAATATGTCGATGCGCTTGTGAATGGGTGCCCGCATCAGAACGCCTAAAATGATGGGAGGATGATGGATTGGAGTGATATGTATCAGCGCCAGGTAGTATTTGAGCACTTACCAGCAAATACCCCAATCACCACGATAATGTAGCCCGTGAAGGTGCCGGTGGCCAGAAAGGATGTCATAATATCGCGATCGTTGAAGCTGTAAAAGTGCAGCACCAAACAGGCCACGGCAAACCCCTAAGGAGAGAAGCGAGCAGATGGCATATTGAGCATTGCTTTTGAGCGGATATGCGCTATCCAACACTCATTGGGTTCAGTGTTCGTTAAGGGTAAGCGCGAAATAGGTCAAGCATGGCGGATGGCGAAATGATGAATACTCATTGATTCAGGTTTTTTTCAGACTGAAACTTCTCAGCATTAAAAGCGAGCTATTGCCAGCTTAGCACTATATCAGTTCAGTGTTGGTTAGGGATAAGCAACTTTTAAACAAAAAAACAAACATTTTCCCAGGATTCAAAGCGAGCTATATCCGGGTCCAAACCAATTGAAACACTAATAGCATGGCACTCTTCGAAGAATAAGAGTGCACTTTAATATCCTTGTGAGCACTTTTCCTCTACCACTTTTCACTCGTAACATTCCAACAAAAGATCACTTGAAAAAAATTATTTACCAATTCCAGAAATTTGACCACATTGAGGCGACCTTTACGTTCACCGTGCGACATTTTATGAAACTGTTGCCGATGGTAGTCCTCGAAGATGTGATCCAGTTTGAAGACGCTCCCTATTTCGATCCGTTCAGCGTGTACACGACCAAAGCGGAACGTAAACTGATTGCTGCTTGCCCCCGTGGATGCTGTGTGTGGCAAGCGAGAGGCTATGCAAATCTCTGATGTTCTGCAGCAGATCGGATTGGATTGGATGACCAGCGAACGAGCGCGAAATTAATTAATTACACTTTTGGGCGGCGGCTCGAGAGGACCCGAGAGGAAATAGGCTTTTCATTTTGTGGCTCTGTTTATCTGCTGTTTATCGTGAAGTGGACACCGCCTGGCGTGCTTTTCTTCTGTAAGACGGAACCGCAACCAGACATCCCACAATTTTACAGAGCGCACTTAAGGAAGGCCCCCTTGACTGTCTGAAGACTGGGAATAGGAATGGGCATGGGCATGGGCATGGGGCGGGGATGTTGTGTGCCTCATAATTATTGTTATGTTTGGGGCAGAGCACACATTATTTCTCGGATTATGAAATGATTATGATTCTATTATGATGCGGCCCCATATTGCTAATGATTTGCAGCTAGAAGGTTATGTCAAGATTTATGCCCCGACTCTCTGGACTGAGAATGGGGGAATGGGGCCATTAGGTTAAGTTGCTCATTTTGGAGGGGCAGTCCCCATTTTAAGAGCATTCTTATAAATTTCGATTCTTATGATTCGAAAAAGGAGATTGGTTGTAGTTTTATGGCAGCATTAACATTTTTGTAATCCATTATGTACCAGTTTTGGATCAGGTTTGCATCAGAAACCCGTTTTCTATACTTAAGTATGGATATATGTATCTATTTTTAGAGGAGAAGTGCATCTGAATGCTATAGATCCATAGAAATATCTGATTGTGGAGCGCTCTTCAGGGGATTCGAAAGGTAAAAAATATAGATGAATAGTTAATAGTTAAAAGGCCCAAACTTTTAAAAATTTATTTTCTGTGATTTCAAGTGTTCTCCCAACCTTAATGGGGAGAACGAAATGCTCTTATCAAAAAAGCACAAAGCTTTGAAGCACCTGCTGATATGATACACCCCTCATATGAAAATCTATGTATGTACCTTTCGACCTATTTTTGAACCTTGCTTATCTCTCCACTCCCTCGATTAATCCCCTTTCCCTACCTTATGCACGGAACGGGAGGGAGCTTCGTTTACGATTCTCGCAATTTTCCAGAACGAAAGCTAATTGAGCTTTGGAGCTTTTTGTCTTTGCAATTTTACGCTAATTACCGGCAATTTGTATGCTTTTGTTGTTTCATTTAATTTTAATCATAGCAAAACGGGTATTTAGTAGATAAATACCCTGTTAATTACATGCCAACCCCTTGGGGGAAATGCTAGATCTGATCATATTCGAGCCAACATGTTCACACAGACAACTAACCCAACCCAGTATATACCCCTTTAGGGGCGAGCTCTACAGGGCATGCAATCGCGGTATTACTAGTTTTCCCTCACTTGTCGTGCATCGAACGATTCAGTCTGTGAGTGCACGCGAAAGGTCTGTCTGAGGTCTCAAAATGCTGCATCCCGAGTTGATTTCTATGGAGAACGAGGTGTTCCGCGTCTACCTCGGCTGGACGGCGGTTCTGGTGCTCAAAATCTTTGCCATGGGCATCCTTACGGGCCTCACCCGCTTCGTAACGGCAGTAAGTGCAATTTTTTTCCCTCTGGCTCATCGTTGACACTACTTTGGCTTAAGTTCGGATTTACTTGAATATTTTATGACATGACCAATTCGACACATTTGAAGACACATTAGCCCTTAAGGGCTAAACTGATCCCATTGATTTGGCAGGCCAATGGCTAGGGCTTGCCTTCAGCTTAGTGTAAACAGACGTATTCCATGGCAGCTGCTCTCAAACTGTCTTCAATTCGACATAATTTCTGGCCTGCTCAGAATGACGCGACACTTTTGCTTTGAGCTTTGAGAGAGCTTTTCCAACAAGTGAGCGAGAGCCATATAAAGAAAACACACAAGCACGAATGCTCTCAAAACTTGAACTCTCACGGCGCGCTACAGACCTGACAAACCGACCGGCAGAAAATAATCTAATAATCTAAAATAAAACTAAAATCAAGTGAAAGATGGCCGGCGTTGTGGAGCTACTAAGCCTTAATAATCCCGTGTTCAAGAGCTATGTGTTCTGGGCCGGCGTTCTGGTCATCAAAATGCTGCTCATGAGCCTCCTCACGGCCGTGCAGCGCTTCAAGACGAAGGTGTGTGTGTGTGGCTAGGGCTGCGGCTTAGGTCAAAGTCTCATTTAAGTGAAAGTCACTAACGGTGCCGCTATCTCTCTATCTCCCGACATTCTAGACCTTTGCCAATCCCGAGGATCTGATGTCGCCCAAGCTGAAGGTCAAATTCGACGATCCCAATGTGGAACGTGTGCGCCGCGCCCATCGCAACGATCTGGAGAACATTGTGCCCTTTTTCATCATCGGCCTGCTCTATACGTTGACGAATCCCAGCGTCTTCCTGGCCGTCAATCTCTTCCGCGCCGTGGGCATTGCCCGCATTGTCCACACCATCGTCTATGCTGTGGTCGTGGTGCCACAGCCATCCCGCGCGCTCGCCTTCTTTGTGGCCCTCGGTGCAACCGTGTACATGGCTCTACAGGTCATCCTGGCGGCTGCTTTTTAATTATTAGATTTAAACACAGCAAATTGTTAATGTTCTATTTTTTATACATAAATTCACATGCATAATGCTACTATAGTCGCAGGCTTGAGTTTATTTTATTACCTGTGGCATTCACGAAGAGCTTTTACAGTTTTAAAAGCATTTGTGTGGGTTAAGCTCGTTCACACTAAAATCAAGCATTGGTGAACTTCCTGAAAGTGGTTTTTATTTGATGTCGGTTCATTATAATGTTAAACTGAAGGCGATTGTTATCGTGATTAGTTAGAAGATAATATAATAAAGAAGTGCAATTGATATGAAAGAAGAAGATAAAATAGCTATGAGTGATTAGAGGGATCGTAATTTGTGTGGAACGAGAGCTAAAAAGAGAGCGTCCAAATAAGCTTGGAAAACAGAATTTTGATGTTAATTAAATGAAATGGAGTATAAAGATATAGCAAATACCTGCTGATCAGCAACAATGATTTCAGACTTGTGCTTTGAATCTATTTTTTTTAGAAAAGATGCAATAAAAGAGAGTACGTAAAATTAGCATATCCACCTACCGGATAGAATGATGTGTTCAGGTGTGGAAGTCCTAGCTAGCTAGTAATACCAAAATCGAGGAATATGTATAATAGAACTTGTTATATATTATAGAACTGAGAAATTGATTGTCATCCAAGGCTCCAGAGAGGGCGAAAACAACTTAGTCTCTGTTTTAAATATCACAACGATGTTTTGAATTCGTCAGTATATTTACTGTATATTTAAAAAATGAGACGGTATATTTCGGTATATTTCTTAGGGTCAGACCGTATATCTTATCGGATTTTCTGATTTTCTTGCACCATGTCTAGCTCACACACCTCGCAAATTTTATATTTTTCATAATATTTTCCAGTAATTTCCAGTATTTTTTAAGATGCGTTATGGACTCACCCTCTTGTGCAATGCACCAATGTAGAAATCGTGTAGAAACGGCACTTCGAGCCATTTCCCAGGCCACTTCGAATACTAATTCCTGATCAGCATCCAATTCCTGGTCGTTTGCCATCAAAATGTAAATTTTTTCAAATATGTCAGAAAAAAGGCATGTCAAAAAGGGGATAACGGAGATCACACTGGCGCTTCCATGGAGTTTATATGAAAAAAAACGGGCAAAAATGTTTCAAAAATACACATTTCCCCTTAAGGTGTCGCCTTTGGTAATTACATAAAATATAGTTAATATGTATCAAATGTGTAGTTATTATGTAGTTACCATGTAAGGAACTCAATTTAGCGGAAATTGCTTTTGATCAGTTTGCTTAAACCTTATTTTAAAAGCAATGCAATAAAGATGACAACTTAAATTCAACCAGTCTTGTAGGAAATTGATTTAACAATCGGATAAAACTATGAATTCAGAGCTGAGGGTCTTAGCTAGCTGGTAATACTCAACCGAATATCAAAAAGGATGGAGTATGATGGAACTTTAATACAAATAATTCGTCAGTATATTTTGAAAATTGTGACGTAGCTTAGGTATATTGTTGAGGTTCACTGCTGACCAGGTGGCAGTCGGCAGTTCTCGCGCGCTCCGCCTTCGCTTCTCGCTCCTCGTTGTCCCTCGCTTTACACGTTTTCTTCGCACTAAGTATTGGTATTGGTAAGTACTGGCTTTAACCGTAAACTGTGAAACTAAGCGAGGCTTACTGCTCTACCTGCAGTGGCAGACATCTCACATCTCTCTCGCTCCCATTGCATATGCGCATTTGAAATGTTAATGTACGACCCGCCGACCCCCGTCACTTCTCTGCGCCTAGAATACCGGCTTTTTGGCAACGAAAATACATAGAAGAGTGGGAGGAGGAGGTGGGAGAGAAACATGTGCTTGTCTATTTTTTGTGTGCCGTTTTATTTTGTGCTTGTTGAGTGAAACAAGTATCCATACACATGAACTTATGTACATAGGTTAGAGTGTGTTAGTCCAGCTAGAGTTGGCGCTCTGTTTGTCTCCTTTCTTCCTTCGGGAATGGGTAATCATCAATAGCGGGTTCCGTCTGCAGGGGAGGGAAGTGGAAAAAACCGTTGAGGCTTGCTGTGCGAGCAAGCTTCTCTGACCTGCCCTAGGAGAGCTCCCGTTAGAACTCTTCTGTAGAAGAAAGATATCAATGTGGCACCCGTTTCTTATTTATTCAGTTTCGAGTAGCGTAGCTTATCTGAATACTCTTCTATCAATCAGTGCCGCCCCTGACGGAGAACCTTATCTTTAAAGCATGCTCATAAAAAAGTACTTATGGTTGGGGGTATATGGCACCCCACCTGAAGAACAGCAGCGTGCGACCACACATTTTAAGACTGTCAAATATGTACATAGCAAACAACGGAGGGTATTCCTAAATAATCGTTTTTTAAGGCAAACCATGCCAAGAAAGATGCCAAGAGGTACTACAGTCGAACTTCCATGTAGCGAGAAAATACAGAAATTTCGATTGCAGTGTTCTGCAAATAGATTCGTTAAATAGAAAACTTCGTTGCAGCAGTTTCGTAATAGAGAAGTTCGACTGTACTTATTAGAGATCAAAATTCACAAAATAGAAAAACTACAGAAATGTTCCCCGTTCGATCCTGTTCGATAAGGGAGACCTTGGCGACTCCTCCGCTTGATTGGCTATTCTTTTGGGGCGTCATCGTATTATTATACGTTTTTCGGGACCTGACCTTTTGCTTTCGATTGAATAATAATCTCCCTACCATGAGGCGACAAGAAATTCTGGAATCTGTAGGGTGTTTTTGTTATTTGGCTGATTAGACGGCGGATCGTAGGGGTCGCCAGGGGCCAGATCTATGCGGTAGGAACCATCTGGCATGTGGTGTGTGTAATCAGCAATCAGCATTCACAGCATTCAGCAGTTCTTCCAATTATTATTCCACTTCCGCTTTTTGCCGTATTCCCATTCCGGGTAGAGAGATGCCAGCCAATAAGACGTACCAGAGGCCCGCGGATTATATTGATCCCGGCAAGCCGTCCAAGTGCAAATGGCATCTGGGTACCCAGGAGAAGACGCCGCACACGCAGCGGGGGATTGCCCACAGGCAAAAGATCACCCCGGACATCCTCGAGGTGATTGGCTGCACACCGCTGGTCCGGCTCAACCACATCCCAACGAAGGAGGGCATCGAGTGTGAGATGTGTAAGTGCCTGCTGACTCTACTCCTTTCTAGCTTTCCCTTCTGATATATCCTCTGATACTGATGCTCTGTTATTTCGCTGATCTGACAGATGCCAAATGCGAGTTCCTGAATCCCGGTGGCTCTGTGAAGGACCGGATCGGCTACCGCATGGTGCAGGATGCCGAGGAGCAGGGCCTGCTCAAGCCGGGCTTCACCATCATCGAGCCCACGTCCGGGAACACGGGCATCGGCCTTGCCATGGCCTGCGCCGTCAAGGGCTACAAGTGCATCATCGTGATGCCCGAAAAGATGTCCAACGAGAAGGTATCGGCCCTGCGCACCCTCGGCGCCAAGATCATCCGCACGCCCACCGAGGCGGCCTACGATTCGCCCGAGGGCCTCATCTACGTGGCCCAAGAGCTGCAGCGCCAGACGCCCAACTCGATTGTGCTGGATCAGTACCGGAACGCCGGTAATCCGTTGTCCCACTACGACGGCACGGCCGCGGAGATCCTCTGGCAGCTAGACAACCAGGTGGACATGATTGTTGTATCCGCCGGCACGGCCGGCACCATCAGCGGCATTGGCCGGAAGATCAAGGAGCAAGCCCCTGCCTGCAAGATCGTCGGCGTGGATCCCTACGGCTCAGTTCTGGCCCGTCCCAAGGAGCTGAACAAAACGAATGTGCAGTTTTACGAGGTGGAGGGCATCGGCTACGACTTCCAGCCCACCGTTTTCGACGATGGCGTGGTGGATGTGTGGTCTAAGATCGGGGACGCCGACTGTTTCCCTATGAGCCGCCGCCTTAATGCCGAGGAGGGTCTGCTCTGCGGCGGTTCCAGTGGCGGGGCCATGCACGCCGCCCTCGCGCACGCCCGCACCCTGAAGAAGGGCCAGCGCTGCGTTGTGATCCTGCCCGACGGCATTCGCAACTACATGACCAAGTTCGTCTCCGACAACTGGATGGAGGCGCGCGGATTCAAGCAGCCCGTGAACGAGCACAGCCACTGGTGGTGGAACCTGCCCATCTCCAAGCTGGAGCTGCCCTCGCCCGTCGCCCTGCTCCAGTCCAGCGCCACAGTGGGCGAGGCCATTGCCCTGATGAAACAGCATCGTGTGGACCAGCTCCCGATGATCGACAATGAGGACGGGTACGCATGGATTTGGGCATATACACATTTAAGGCAGATCCTTACATCCGTTCTCAATTCTTTGCAGCTCCATTCTGGGCGTTGTCGGCCAGGAGACGCTGATTAATCAGATCGTTAGCATGAACCGACAGCAGACGGACCCCGCTCTCAAGGCCCTCAACAAGCGCGTGATTCGCCTGAATGCCAACGAAGTGCTGGGCAAGCTGGCTCGCATTCTCGAAGTGGATCCCAGTGTCCTCATTGTGGGCAAGAGTGAAGCCGGCAAGGAAGAGATCAAGTCGCTGGCCACCAAGCTGGATGTGACCTCATTCATTGTGGCTGAGAAAAAGGTCAATGCCAATGGCAATGGCACCGCCACCAACGGCAACAGCCACTAAAGGACTTCTCCTATACATAAGAAAGGAATAACAAAAAACATCCCCGAATCCCAGTTCGTGTCCCATATATACAGACTTGACTGTAGCTACCAGCTGATAACTTATTCGTCTACCCACTCGCATGCATTTGTCTATTTTTGTAATAAAGGACTTTTTATTATACACAAATTTAAATTTAAATTTGAATTCAAATTCAAAAAGCTGCTGCTGGTGCTGCCATCTGGATGTGATTGTCATTTGCAGTGGATGGCGCTTTAAGACAGTAGTTTGGCATAAGTATATTTGCTGGTGGTGCTTCCTAAACGATGCGCCATAAAAAGGCTTTGAAGGGATGCTCTGGACTTTTTATAAGTTTCAGCTTTTGTCGAATGACAAGTCGATCACTTAGATGTGGCAGAAAGCTTTTGTCAGATATCGACTCGTCTGCAGTTGCGGCCAAAAGGAGCGAATTTGGATTGAGGAATCGCTTTTTTACGGATGTGAAACCGCTGGTCCTCACGTGCTTTTTGCAGACGAATCTGTTCAACAGACCGCGCGGCCAGCACTGGATACTATCTGTATCTCTGGACAACGACAATGCCCTGATTATTCGCAGGGCCTATGCAGAGGCCGCAGGTCTCCCCGCCTGACGGCCCATGTGCACCAGTGCCTGTACTGCGATAGCCAAAGAGAGTCCCTGAAGCTCAAGACCATCGCCGCACGGCAAGGCCGCTACTTGGAAGATAGGATCGATGCAATGCCCTCCCTTGAAGAGCTCCTCTGCGCCTGCTCCGCCTCCCTGTGGAGCTGCGCTCCTCGATTTTGATCAGTCTGGTGACGCTTTCTCCTTTGGGGAGATGGCAAAAACGAGGGCACTTGAGGTGGCATTTCATTCCTGAAGAATTGAAAGATCTAAGGATCTACACAAGTCCCGTCCATGCCATTAAGCTGCCCACAATGCCAATAAGACTCGGGTTTTTTGTTATCAGATTTGTCATCAGAGAATATATAATATATATTTCGATCTCTTCGCTTACACAGTGTAGGATAGGACTCGCCTTCGAGGGCAGGGCCCTTTCATGAGTACACACAGTATATTCGACACTCACCACTCAAAAGGCAAAGAGAACGAACAAAGAGAGTAATAACAGTGCCAAAGTGAGAGAGAGAGAGAGGCTGTGTGTGTGTGTGCTCATGCAGGGCTCTTCTATTCCGAACCATCATTTACAGATGGACACAAATACTGGAGGCAAAAAATACATGATTTTAGAACTAAGTGCCGTGCCCCCGACAGGAGAAAAATGAGAGGGAGAGCGAGATAGAGAGCACCGAGAGCGCGAGATTACTAAATGCGGTTTCCGTGAGATGGAGAGGGATAGGGAGAGCTAATATACAAGTGCAAGTGCACCCCACACAAAAGAGACAGAGAGAGGGAGAACGAGATGGAATGCTTTGGGGTTTGACGTATCGCCCTAGACCCCGCGATTGGGTAGATCCTTGACCTTGTAGATGCGCACCAGCCAGTGCTCCGTGGTGTATGCCTCCTCAAGGACGTCCAGCTCAAAGTCCTTGTTGCCGATTTCGGCAGCGCGCACTCGATCGTAGCCCTGCGCCTTGCCACCTTCGGTGTACATCTGGCCGAAGCGATAGTAGCACATCTTGTACATGAGGCAATTGAGGAGCGTGGGGGAGCCCTCCTTGTCGACACGGAACTCCCCATTGGCCGCATAGTAGTCCTTCTCCTTGATGTGCGCCCCACGATCTGTGCTGCCGCCGATGCGCACCATCCACAGGAACTTATTGATGTCGTCTGAGGAGTAGCCGGTGAGGCCGCCAAAAATCACCAGGACATAGTCGACGTCCAGTTCGCGCATTATCTCGTAGGCCTTCTCCTCGGACGATGCCATGGCTTGGCCCACGCGCGAGATATGCGTATTGTTCCAGGTGTTGTTGTCCACCAAAATGGTGCGATTGGCCATGGCCGTGATCTGATAGCCATAGTCCCACCAGGACATAATACGGGCATCCTACAAAACAGACAGAAGGAGAAAAAGAGAGCGATGAATAATTGGATGGGAAGGGTCTCTAAAGAGTGGAAGCGTAGGAGCAAGGAGTATTATTGGATTTCGTCAGATATTGTTTTAGTACTCATTATGTTTCATACTCTTCCTATCAAGAATTTACAAATAGTCATCATTGAAGGGGGGAATGGGTATTAGAATGAGGATCTGCATGCATGCCCACCTCTGGTGTGTTCATCTGCAGCCAGTAGTAGGCCTCTCGAAAGTCGTCAAAGATGATCCGACCACCGTCGTGGGAGCGAGCACTCAGCACGATGCTGGGCGAGGAGTAGGCCTCCGAGGTGACCCACGTGCAGTGGAGCGTGTAGACAATCAGCATCATTGTGATGATGCCCACAAAACCGATGGCCACCTCGCTCTTGACGCCGCCCGTCTGCTGCTCGAGCTTCTTGTGGTGTCGCTTGCTGTCCGTGGGCTTCGGGGTGCCGCCACCGTCCACGCTCTTGATGTACTTGGCCAGCAGATGGGAGATCGCGATGCCCGACAGCACACACATCACGGGGGCCAGCACCAGCATGAGGCGCACCATGACACCAGCAAAATAGATGCTCGTCACGCCATACAAAATGATGAAGATGTTCGAGTCGGTGAGTTTCGAGAAACAAAAGTAGAGGCCGGCGGGAAACAAAAACACCAGAATCTGGGGAGGGGAGAAATATTCATTAGTCGGATCAGGAGGAGGAGGGTGGTCGTATGGGACCGGGGGACGCCTTCAGCGATCAAAGTGCTAGGTAATCATTAAATGCATTAAGTCGCAGCTCATTCGCATCGTTGTTAGGTTTTCATCACTGGCGGGGGGAGAGCACAACAAAAGCCTGTTGGCTCCATGCCCAAAACCAAAGAAAACTCACCTGAAGATCAAAGTAAAATGATGACCACGACGTGGGCTGGTGCTCCGACACGGAGGCAATGATGGGAATATGATTCTTGGCGTAGGACGGATCCAGCAGCGAGTAAAAGCGGCCCGTCCAGGGCGACACTTTGCCGGTAATAGTTAGCAGAGTGCCCAAGACTAGGACCAGAGTGAGCACGCTCGAGACCAGCGTCTTGAAGAGCTGCTCAAAGTGATCCTTGGGTATGCGAGAGCGCAGGTAGTCCACAAATGCATGGATCTGGCACAGACCAAAGACGCCAAGGGCCTGCAAAAAGGTCCAAAACGAATAGCATTAGCACTGAACAACGCGGGAGAGTTGTATGGGGGAACGGAATGGCATTTAAGGATCAAATCAGTTTGGTTTGTTCGTACTCATTATGTTTCATACTCTTCCTATCAAGAATTACAAAAGTAATCATCACATTTGATCCGAAAATTAGGTAAAAAGTAAGACAGTTCTCGTGGTCGGTTGGCACTTACCAGCATATGCTCGGAGCTCTGGATGGGCTGGAAGCCCACAAACGATATCTGCATGGACAGAATGGTGCCCACGCAGTAGAGCGTGCTGTAGGCAATGTAGATCCTGTGCGAGAATCGTCCGGTTATCATCAGGGCCAGCACATGCAGCGGTATCAGATTGATGAGGAACACATAGCCGCCCCAAGACGACACCATGTAAAAGTAGGCCAGTGCGGACATGGCCGACCAGAAGATGGTGCCCGTCTTGACCGCCTTTATCCACAGATAATAGGTGAAGAGCATGCAGAAGATGGCGATGCCCTCGTTGTCGTAGGAACCGGCCACCGATCGCGATATATAGCCGGGAACAATGGAGATCAGAGCGGCAGCCACCAGGCCAGCACCAGTGCTCTGCGTGGGGAGATACAAGTTAGAGCCACGTGCGCGACATAACCTCCAACGGGGGCGGGGCGACTTACATGGATTTCCTTGGTCAGGGCGTAGGTGACCAGCACTGTCAGGGACGAGAAGAAGGGGGCCAGAAAGACGCACACATTGCGTATGTCAATGGTGATGTTCAGCAGCCACATGATCCGGTACAGGGCCGCGGAGGTGAGCATCAGCCCCGGGTAGATGGTCCCGCCGATGATGCGGCCCAGCGGATACCAGGCGCGCTCATCGAACCAATTGTGGAACTTGTAGAAGCCCTGCTCGGCCAGGAACCGCGTGGTGCGGTAATTGAAGTACGGATCGAATTCATGGATGACACTTTCGAACCTCAGCACAGAAAAAAGGCGCGTGGCGAAGGCTGGAACCCGGAGGCGGAAAGAAAAGGAAAAAGGGGGAGAGCGTTCGATAAGCACCGTTGTTTGATTCAGTCGGTTCAGGGTTATCGATAGAATCGCTCGCTTGAACCGGTTCGCACGAACCGTTTTGGTTCACGCTCACACACACATTTTTGCATTTTAGCATCTTGAAATGCATTTCGTTGCTCATAGTACTTACACAGCACTGCAGCCAGTATGAGGATGACCAGCCTGAGCAGATGCTCTTGCTTTTCCCAGGTCAGGAGACCCTTGGCCCTGCTGGCGGCGCTACCGCCCACGCCTCCTCCAATGTCCACGGCCATAGTTTTGCCGGTCCGTGTGTGCCGGTTGCTGGGATTGGGGGTGTTGCGGGATAGAACTACACACTACACGTAGGTAAGGTTATTAACCCGGTATTAAGGTTACAGCTCCAATGCACGCGCTTGTCCTGCACATTACCTTCACAGTTGATTTTGGGACGAAAAAATACTTTTAAACTGCGCGACGGAACTCGGAAATATATTCGTGGCGGAACCAGTTCGCAGTGGGTGGGGATATTGGGTCGTTCACAGTGGACTTGTCGATAGGTACGGTACGATACGGTCTGACCCTCAGATTTATACCGAAACTACGTCACAAATTTCAAAATATACCGTATATATAATTTTCGAAATTTTTTGAGGTCAAAATTGAATTTATGCGGGCATGGCTAAATGTCCTATCTAGCCAATAATATTCGACGGAACATCAAAATTGAGCAATATGGTTTTCAATCCTTAACGGAGAACGATTAACCCATTGTAAACCAAGAGGGTATTTTAATATTCCACCGAAAATAATGAAAATATAATAAACTCAATTCAGGTGAAAGATATCGTTTTTTTTTTTTAAGTTCAAAGGAAAGATGACATGGATCTACAAGAAGAATTTACAATTGGAAATATTTTCCGCCAATTAGCGCAAGTCGTTGAACTG